CCTCATTGGGGTACTTATAGGTACAGTCAAATCCCGATGAGTCGAATGCCGGTGTCTCGAATATTATGCATAACTCGAAGTACCTGTCGGTCCCGACCATTCCCTGTTATAGTTGTCATCATTTGATTTCCGGTTACACGAAGTCGTCTCATAAATACACACGATGACTCGAGAAGGAAATTTGGTCCCATGAGATTCAAACAACAGCCAACTCTCCCTGTAAGGCCAAGAGATACGCTGAAAGGATCACCACTCTGAGCTGCTGATCTGCATTCCGGTACTGCTCCTCAAAGGAGCAATACGCGGATCTCAACACCTGAATGTTCGCCTGGAACGGCAGCAGTCGCCGGCCTTGTTGCAAAGAAGGAACAAATGAGCCAGATGAACCACCCAGTGTGACAGAGGTGTAAACGCACTCGTCAACAACTGGAGCCTCGAAGAGAGACTCCTCCCCCCAAAGGATAACGGCAGCTGAGATCTGGGACATCAAAGCGAGACCTATTACCAGTCAAGAGGGGTGCGACAACCTCACTTAACATCAAAGGCAAAATGCGAAGTCTAAGTTTGATGACATTAGTGGGAGCAAAAGCCTCTCCAGGCAGATGAAATTCCGCAGGATCAGGCCCCGACTCAGGGACAACCACCTGTGGGAGAACCTCCCGCCCGGCCCCTACCATCACCCCATCCTCCTCCATATCTTCTCGTCCCGCGGCTCATGAGCCGTCATGATCAAGGTAGAATACAGAGGGCTCAGAGGATCCGACAGACAAAAGTGGTCCAGATCATCAAGTCCCCGGCTTGAGGTCGAGCCGCAGCGCCGACGCGACAGGGAAGCATCCACTTAACTGGAGGAACCCTAAGCTTGCATACCACGTGACGCAAGGGGGACAAGTCCCAGCGCACGTGATAACCTCTCGGCAGTGGCACCGGCAGATGTCAGGGTCCAGACGTCGGGTCGAAGACAGGTCCCGAGGGAGCACCAGAACCGGCGCCTAGGCTCGGGTCTGATCTATCCCTGGAAGTATGGCCGGTCCCTGAGCCTTCTTCCTATCGGCTTTTGAAGAAGCCGGGGAAGACCCAGAAGTAGCCTTCTTTTCAGAATGCCCAAATGTCGCCCCCATCCTGTGTAGCTTTGTGTAGAACATAAAGTCGGTGTGCGGACTATTACGCTCCTAGGGAGTGAATCGCAGACAAACAGCATTGCTGATCATCATGCCCCTCTTTGACCAAACATCTCAGGCAACCCTTGTGGGAATCCTGAGGTGGGAGCACAGAACTGACTGTAATGCAGGTTTTAAACTGCAAAAAGTGAACAGATCATGGATACTCAAATGTTGAAGTGTAAACACTAAAAACATGAAGTAACAATACGCATGGGCGATAAAGTAAATTATATGGCACACAAGTAATTAAATAACGTAGTATGCAACACCCATAATTCCAAGAAATGAAGCATACGTAAAGCATAGCATGAGAGCAACGTGCGCCACGCATACACGGCAACTCACACACGTTGGTAAAAATATATACATGTAAATAAATATGGATAATCACGATAATACAATAAGTGGGAAGCAACCTTTATAACTAAAGAGTAACCCACAACACAGGTAGAACAAGCCACAGTTAAAAACCTATGCTGAAAAAATAGTAATAGCAGTCGCCATCTTGCTAGGCACACTGCCAGAAGACAGGACCGGCAGGAAAAGTTACAACAAAGATGAATGAAAATTCACGATAACTAACTAAATATACTGCCCATGCGATACAAAAGTAAGTAACCATACATACAGTATTGGAGTCAGAACCACTCATCTTGGGAATTCACTTGAATCAAGTGATGGAACACACGCATGTCTTCACAGAAGAATGACAGCATGGAAAGTGAGGTACGAGGAGAGCTCTTAGAGTTACCTGTTCTTGGCGGACAGGTCCATTCCGTCCTCGGGCCCACAAGACGAAAACATAGTTTTGGTTTTTTAATTTTTTTATTCAAAATATAGTTACAACTGTCGTAGGAATTTTGAATGGACATTTAAATGCTTACAAGTACCCCAAGGAGGATATCTTATGTAAATGAATGTTTCATGTTATTTTCAAGCAATTGGAGTTGACTTCATTTTTACAGATTTATTGGACATGTTATGGAAAATTAAGTGACACAGGTGACTTCTTTGAGTGGCACGTTTAGAAGTTGGTGAAGTAGATATGGACAAACTTTATGGATGAACAACTTCTTTATTCCGTTGATGCAACATTTCGATGCAGATTCTTGAATCATTGTCAAGCATGTATGAGTCAGATAAAAAACAGGGTTACATATATATACAGTAAATAATGAACAAGAACAACAGGAGGTTAATTAGGATGTACAGTAACAATGTGATGACAAGGGATTACATGTTAAAGCCAGTGACAATGGATTACATTTAGAAGCCAGTGGGATGTACAGAGCAGGAGAGATTGGACATGTTTATACAAGTATAAAAGCAGTTAGGGTTGGTTGATGAGTTCATCATATGCCGAGGAGATGAAATAACCTTGATCTCTGTTGATCAGGGGTCGGTGTTGTTTGATGTGGATGGCTTCAGTTAGCTTCCGTTTGGTGAAGTCAGGTTGGTTGGTTGCCAGTATTGTGTATTCTGTCCAGTTGATTTGGTGATTGGGGTTGGTCTGAATATGTTCTGAGATGGCTGATTTGTTGATTGGGGTTGGTCTGAATATGTTCTGAGATGGCTGATTTGTTGTCGGATTTGTTCATTGACGCCTGGTGCTCTTTCACTCTGGCCAAGATGTTTCGCCAAAATGTCCACAGTTACAGTCAATTTTGTAAACCACACCCTTGGGATTGAATTTTCTGTTGTTGGGATGGTTATGCCCGTTGGCCTGCAGAAGGTTGGCCTTCAGGAGTCTGCTGATCTGGTGTGAGGTCTTGCCAATGTAGGGGATGGAGATTTTTATTGGTGCTGGCTCTGGTCTAGGTAGCTATGTTGAGAGGGTTGAAACAATTGTCCTGTTCACTAATTTGGGTGGATAATCATTGAGGTCAATGAACGCTTCTTTGAGATGGTTTATTTCCTCTTGAAGATTAGTAGAACAGATGTTCTTTGCTCTCCTGGTGAGTGTAGATATCATGCCAATCTTCACCTGTGGTGGATGGTTGGACTGGTAGTGCACATATTGGTTGCTGTGTGTCGGCTTGCAGTAAACAAGTGTTGGTCTGGAGTGTGTTGGTAGGGGTGCGGGAGACAAGGGACAACTAGGAAGGGCAGTTTGTTGTTGGTTTCTGTTTCCATGGTAAATTTGATGCGGTGGTGTTGGTTGTTCAGATGCTGTAGTAGCTGTTCTTGATCTTGGCCGGGGTGGAGGATGACAAACGTGTCGTCAACCTTACGATGCCAACACATGGGTTCCACAGGTGAAGTGAGGAGGGCTTTCTCTTCAAGGTCAGTCAGGTACATTTCACTGAGAATAGGCAATAGGGGTGAACCCATGGGCAGTCCATGTATTTGTTCAAAGATGTCTTCACCCCAGGTGAAGTCGGTTGAATCAATGCAGGCAGAGGTTAGGCTGATTATGGAGTCAATGTCTAGGGGTTCGTCAAGGTTGTTGAGTCTTTGTCGCAAGGAAAAGGAGGGCTTCTTCTCATGGTACGTTAGTGAACAGGTCTACTACATCATAACTGATGATGGGGCCAGGGTTAGATATTTGACAGAGTTTCTTGCAAATTTCACTAGAGTCCAAAATGAATGATTTAGCAGATGGGGCAAGCACTCGGGTGAGGTGTTGAGCAGTATTATAGAAGACAGTGTCACGGGAACAGATCAGGAGGCGAGTTTTGACAGGGTTCTTGTGAATTTTCACTGTTGCTCTGGCATACAGAGGTTGGGGATGCGATCCTGAGAGTTTTCAATGTAAGTCCACAGATAGTACATAGTTGTCACAAAGTGTCGTTGTCGTTGAAGTTTTGTGTTTTTTGTCCTTCTCGGTCTTCTTGTAGGTGGTTGAATCCTGCAGCATGTTGTCTACCATGGAGTTGAAGTGGGGCTGGTCTAACACAACAGTGGCCCCACTCTTGTCTGCTGGAACAATGACAATATCTGAGTCTTGCTTAAGTTGCTTGATTTGGTGAGGTCTACTTTGCTTGATTTGGTGTAGTCTACTTTGCACCCAGGGGCCAGTTGCTGCAGCCCCTTCTCAATGTTGGTGATGATCTTAGGTGGCGTTGGGGCAAACTTGAGTCCTTTGGCAAGGACACTGGTTTGTTGTGAGGTGAGCTATTTCTTGCTAAGGTTCACTACAGTCTTGATGGTGGGAGAGGGTTTCTTCTTCTCGAACTTTGTGGAGGAAGTGAGTTGTTGGAACTTCTTAATGTGTACAGACTTAGTAGAAGCATCGAGTTTGTTGTTAGCGGTGGTCTGGGCAGTTCTTAATGAGGAAAATTACTCAGGGTCAAGGGTGGCACTGAGCGATGACTGATGTCCATGGATCACCAAATCAACTGGACAGAATACAAAATACTGGCAACCAACCAACCTGACTTCACCAAACGGAAACTAACTGAAGCCATACACATCAAATGGCACAGACCCCTGATCAACAGAGATCAAGGTTATTTCATCCCCTCAGCATACAATGAACTCATTAACCACCCCTAACTGCTTGTATACTTGTATAAATACTTGTATAAACATGTCCAACCTCTCCTGCTCTGCACATCCCACTGGCTTCTAAATGTAATCCATTGTCACTGGCTTCTACATGAAATCCATTGTCATCACATTGTTACTGTACATCCCAATACTTCTTGTCATCCTTGTTCTTTATTTACTGTACATATGTGTGTAACCCTGTTACCTGAGTCACCTGACTCATACTTGCTTGACAACGATACATAAAGAATCTGTATCGAAATGTCGAATCATCCGAATAAAGAAGTTGTTCATCGATAAAGTTTGTCCTTATCTGACACAGGTGACCTTGTACTCCTGAACACTCACCACTGGCTGGTTGAGGTAGTTGCCATAGGAAAACATGTTCTTGTAGCTCTCAAATGTGAAGAATTTTACAGCTCTTTTGGGTGTTTCTGCCATTAAAGGTGGCAGGATCCCCTTGTAGAAGGACAGAGCCCTGTAAATGGAATCTACACTGCACAGGGTATCATCTTGGGGGCCACACACCCACTCTACCTCTCACCACCACCATACACAATCTACACTGCACAGGGTATAATCTTGGGGGCCACACACCCACTCTACCTCTCACCAACATACACAATTTACACTGCACAGGGTATCATCTTGGGGGCCACACACCCACTCTACCTCTCACCACCAACATACACAATCTACACTGCACAGGGTATCATCTTGGGGCCACACACCCACTCTACCTCTCACCACCACCATACACAATCTACACTGCACAGGGTATCATCTTGGGGGCCACACACCCACTCTACCTCTCACCACCAACATACACAATCTACACTGCACAGGGTATCATCTTGAGGGCCACACACCCACTCTACCTCTCACCACCAACATACACAATCTACACTGCACAGGGTATCATCTTGGGGGCCACACACCCACTCTACCTCTCACCACCACCATACACAATCTACACTGCACAGGGTATCATCTTGGGGCCACACACCCACTCTACCTCTCACCACCAACATACACAATCTACACTGCACAGGGTATCATCTTGGGGGCCACACACCCACTCTACCTCTCACCACCAACATACACAATCTACACTGCACAGGGTATCATCTTGAGGGCCACACACCCAATCTACCTCTCACCAACATACACAATCTACACAGCACAGGGTATCATCTTCAGGGCCACACACCCACTCTCCCTCTCACCACCAACATACACAATCTACACTGCACAGGGTATCATCTTGGGGGCCACACACCCACTCTACCTCTCACCTCCAACTTACACAATCTACACTGCACAGGGTATCATCTTGGGGGCCACACACCCACTCTACCTCTCACCACCACAATACACAATCTACACTGCACAGGGTATCATCTTGAGGGCCACACACCCACTCTACCTCTCACCACCAACATACACAATCTACACTGCACAGGGTATCATCTTGGGGGCCACACACCCACTCTACCTCTCACCACCAACATACACAATCTACACTGCACAGGGTATCATCTTGAGGGCCACACACCCACTCTACCTCTCACCACCAACATACACAATCTACACTGCACAGGGTATCATCTTCGGGGCCACACACCCACTCTACCTCTCACCACCATACACAATCTACACTACACAGGGTTTCATCACTTCAGTGAATCAGATGATTAGGTTTACTTGGCTGAGAACCTTATGAATATATCATGAGTTACAATAATGAAATAGGAAATAGTTACCCTTCACTCCTGTACATCTTCTTGACACAGTCAGCAATAGAATTGTATCTTTGGGGGTCGTCTAGTCCACCCTGAATCTGGAACCTGGTCTTGATGAGGTCAAGGGGGTGCATGATCGACACTTCCACAAACCCTCAACAAACAAAGTACACAATGTCACTGTGATTTTCTCAAAATATAAGATATACTCAGTGGCAAAAGTTATTGTGGCATGGATCTTTTTCAACAAATATCTTGTGAATCGAATGTTTCAATTTGAACTAGAGAAACAATGTTTGAAGAAAAACAACAAAGCAGTTGTTTGAAATGCACAAGGATGCCAACCCTTAAGGAAACTTCTGATGCCAGCATACTAGTACATGTATATAAAAGTCAGACCACATTTGCGATGGGGAATACTTGAGTGGAGAAGACTTCTCTTCACCTATGAATGTTTTCCTTCTTCACCAAACTGACAGCAGATTAAGTGTCTGCAGGTGAATGTTACATCAAGCCATGTGTTCTAGAAGGGGATCGTTTTTAGAGACAGGGGCGTTGTAATGTTAGGTAAGATAAAAACTGCAGCAAGCTAGGATTCCAGGGCTCGAAAAATTAAAAAAATCTGCACTCGCCCTGTAGGGCAAGTAATATGAACTTTCCACTTGTCCTTCTAAAATTGTACTTTCCCTATAGATCATGCATCAGAATGAATATAAACTTAATTTATTTTATTTCAAAATGTTTGCTTGGAATAAAACTACAATAAACATTACTTACTTTGCATTCTGTACAAAATCTTTGACAAAATTGAATTCATTCACCATTTAAGATAGCTGAACTTCAAGGAAAAAGAAAAATGTTACTTTTGGGTCAGAAAACGTACTCGTCCTGTAGGACGAGCAAATTATGTTTTTCACTTGCCCGAAACAAAGTTTACTCGTCAATACAAGGGACGAGTTGAATTTTCGAGCCCTGGATTCCAATGTTTGTTGTGACTGAGTGAACTTGAATGATGTGAGGTACAAAGATGATACATTGCAAATTAATGCTTTACTGTTTTGGGAACAGAATGACCCAGGAGTGACATTTTGAAATGATAATGCCAGACCACATATTGCTTGTGTTGTAAAGCAGTATTTTAATCAGAACAATGTTATTTTGTTACCCTGTCCCACAAGATCCCCTGATTTTGCACCCACTGAACATCTCTAGGAAGAATACAATATTTGAATCCTCCAAAAACACTACACAAACTCTGCCAAATCCCTCCTTGGATATTGAATAATATTCCCCAGGGCTTTCAGCAACATTTAGTGGCCTCAGTAATTCAAAGGTCCAATGTCTTCATCTGAGCTAAAGGTGGACACACTTGCTACTGAACGTGAGAACTTACTTGTGAACCATCACTTGTGTTGTGGCTCATTTACATATACCAGGAGCGCTGTTGTTTTGGACTTTTTATGGTTACCATACCTTGAAACATCTGTCGTTCCATGTAATAAAATTTCCTTTGCAGCAGTAAAATAGTTAACACTGATTCTGTTTGTTATTTGTGTGTCACAATATCTTTTGCCTTTGAGTATGTTTAACCCATGGTGAATTAGTGTTGTTACGATGACCATACTGATTTTAACTGGAGATGCAGATGCAGCACTGAGTCAAGTACATGGGTGAACTGGACATTGAAACTAGTGTAGTGTTCAACACACATCAGTCCCTATGGAAGTTCTGTTGTTTTCAAACAGTGCAGTCCCATTCCAGGTTACATCAGAAATCCCAAATATAACATATGTTACATTTGACCACTTTCTAAAATGGCATTGTGTATTTCATAGCTTGAAATGTGCCAATTAACACTATCAGAGGGGTACACGAAGTCCGCAGTCTAGACTACCAGTTGTCCGACTTCCATTTTTGTGGAAGCCGCGGTGGCTGAGCGGTCTAGGCGTCTGACTTTGTGTGCTGGCGATTAGGTGCCTGACTCTGGGGGTGTGGGTTCGAATCCCGGATGGGACTCAACCCAAAAAGTACTAGAATCTGTACTTTACTAAGAAAGTGAAATCCCAAATATAACATATGTTACATTTGACCACTTTCTAAAATGGCATTGTGTATTTCATCAGAACAACCTTTAATGAGCTTTGACCAATCTGGTCACATGGCTGGTAGTTCTGATGTGTCCTGTAATGCCAGACCCTAAGATCTTTCTTTAGCTATAGTGACTAAAAAGATCTGCTATTTTCTTCGATTTTAATTAGATTATTTCCTGCTTGCGTGTGGATTTCAGTTCAGATTGTGGGTCTCCCATCCATTTATGCTTGTCATAGTTAATAAAACATTTATTGCATAATGTACACATTGTCCCATGACCAATCACTTAAAACTGATTGCTCAAGTAGGATTTACATTTGAATTATGTATGGAATGAATGAATGTTCAGCTTTCTAAATATATAAACTTACAGCATGGCAATTTATTTTTATACACAATTTGAAAGTCATTATGTATTGTTCATACATTTGTACATACTTAAATACGTGGTCAGATTTTATTGCAAATATTATCTTGAAATCTGAGCATACAATCCATGCTGTGTGATAAGAAGCTGATCCTGGTTATTCCTGTCAGTAGCACAGGGTTACAACTCTTAATATGTTGCCATGTATTGTCAGTGCTGTTCAAATCTGGAGTATTCAAAGTATTTCGAAATACTTATTTCCCAAGACTGCATATTACCTGTTGATCTGACTCAAGTTCTAGCATCCTCAGTTCTTACAACAATCACAGTTCAATGCATATTTGCAAGATAATTATATATTAAACGTCATACTATCAATGATTTTTTTTTATATTCTGTTGTTTGTTTGAATAAGGACACTGACATCAATAGTGCCATGTAAGATGCTTCCTGTAAGATGCTTTTTGAAAGTAACACTGATTTTTTATGGTATAATGTGAATGACCAGTGAGGGGGGCTGTGTTTGAAAATGACTAAAGATCACATTGAAGTTAAAGTTTTGCATTGGTCGAGCCAAGGTGTGGTTCAGGGGATTGGAACTCTCCCCACCCACTCCCCAAATGCCCCCCAGGATACATTGTTTGCGGGGGGAGAGCGGGGTCGCACCCCCCACCCCTCTGGATCCGCCCCTGATTGATGAGATTACCTGCACATCCACCAGCCGCAAATTGCATCGTCATGAGAGTCAATGCACTGTGCTTGTCAGGTGTTTGTGCAGAAGCCATTTTTCGGTGTACCAACACAGTGACAGACACCTGTGGTCAGTTTGGGCATGAATGAGGTGGGATGCACCCGAGATAAGAGTAACAGTCCACAATTTCGTAAAATCCCATTCACTGCGGTAATACTTCCGGTTAAAAATAAAATATGTGTCAAGTAATATACGGAATATGATTGTGTTTGTTGTTTTGAGGGGAGTAACATACTAAATATGACCTGTGGTTATCCTATGGTTCATGTTCCATCCAAAATACGTAGCCCATATTCAATTCTTCACTGTCAATTAGGTGTTTGCAATTCACTACTTGAACTACTTGCAGTGTGCGCCTGCCCTAATTCTCATCGCACGGAAGAGAGGTACTCCAGGTTCATTTACCATGTAAGAAATAACGGTTTGTCTCCAAAATTAACTGGTACTTTTAACCCACAATGATAAAGCGGGTTGTACATGCGTCTTTGGTGAAAGGTTCGCAGTACACATCGACATTTCTGAAGTCGAATGAAAATGTCTGTAGCCTCATACAAAATATTGTGTGAGACTGTACGTGGATGCCCTTCAGAGAAACATTCGAAGTAATGACCATAAGTTAGAAACGATGAGCAGTTCTCCAAGTGATTTGAGCATGAATAATACTGCATAACCATTGTGGTGATTCAGGGTAATCAGTTGTTTTGATACGCTGAAATTTAAAGTTAGAAAGTAACCAGCTTTTAATTTGTCACTTCAGTCGGGATCCTGTGCAGATACTACGGGATCGGGTGGTCAGACTCGCTGACAATCATGCCCCGATTGAGTAGATCGATGCTCATGCTGTTGATCACTGGAATGTCTGGTCCAGACTCGATTATTTACAGACCGCAACCATATAGATGGAATATTGCTGATTGTGGCATAAATATAAACTGACTCATGGATACTAGGACTGAATCAGTAAAGAAATTATATTGGAATATGTTGTGATAGGCATTTTGATATACTGGGAGTGACATAGTTTGACACAGAGTGACAGTGATTGTACAAGCAGATCTTATTTTCTACAAAATACATGCTTTGTAAGCATGTGATACAAAATGTTGAACCGGTGAAGATCCGGGGTAGAATAGGTCTTCAGCAACCCATGCTTGCCACAAAAGGCGACCATGCTTGTCGTAAGAGGCAACTAACGGGATCGGGTGGTCAGGCTCGCCGACTTGGTTGACACATGTCATCGGTTCCCAATTACGCAGATTGATGCTCATACTATTGATCACTGGATTGTCTGGTCCAGACTCGATTATTTTCAGACCACCGCAACTGGAATCTTGCTGAGTGTGGCGTAAAACTAAACTCACTTACAAAATGTTGTGCTTTGTGTCACGCAAACATCAGGCAATGCATCATCATTTATTACAAAAACAAAGAAAAATTATTTAAATAGTGACTGTTGAAACTGTACTGTTTTCATTCAATTGAGTTTAACAAGGTACCCTCCTGTTACTCTTGTGATGTCTACTTTTCTCAAGAACCACTTTCCATAGTAGATACAAGAAGTGCCATAACACAAGCAGTCCAGAAACTAAAATCAGACAGTTTATCAGGATTTAAGAGAAGCTTCATGTGTATGTCAACGCCTAGATGTGTGGTCTGGGGGACTAGCTCATAATTAAGATGAAGTGTGCATTGACGAAGACAAAGGCATAATTGAGTTCAAACATATCTAGACTGGTAGGCACTGCTTGTGCAACTTCATCAGGTGACAGAAACCTTGGTAGGACTTGAGTGACATAGGTCCCTCTTGTTTATTCTAACCATGCTGAGGACTTCGTCAGGTGACAGAAACCTTGGTAAGACTTGAGTGACATAGGTCCCTCTTGTTCATTCTATCCATGCTGAGGACTTCGTCAGGTGACAGAAACCTTGGTAGGACTTGAATGACCTAGGTCCCTCTTGTTCATTCTATGCATGCTGAGGACTTCAACAGTGGAGCAGCCTGAGTTAACTTTTCCTGAAAACGGAGAGACCCACCTGTGACTGAGAAACAGAGTGGGCATATAGTTTGCTAATTCATTCACTCAGGTGTGATTTTTCCATTGATGGCATCGCTCTTTGTTGGTTCAAGTCCTACCTAACCACCCACCGTCAGACTGGGCTCATAGACGAACACCACTCTGCTCCAGTCCATCGCAGACATGGTGTACCACAGGGGCCGGTCCTAGGGCTAGTCCTCTTCACTTTGTATGTTAAGAAGCTTGGAAGTGTTAATACCGAACACAATGTAAATTGTCATCAATACACAGATGATGCACAGCTATACATTTTTTTCCTGCCAAGAACAGTCATATAGCGCACTAACAGACATGCGTCAGGACTGTGATGACGTTAAATCCTGGATGACCCATTACAAACTTAAGCTCAACAGCAACAAGACATTCTCCTTTGTCTGGAGAAGTGGAGGTCCAAGTGTGGAGTCAGCTCAGTAGAATTTGACAATTCATGTATCTACTTTGCTGATCAAGTCCAAGACCTGGGTGTGTTCCTAGATTCAATCTTGTAACACAACTCTCATGTATATCATCTGTCAAAATCTGTTTTATGTAACTCCGCAACATTGGAAATATTCGGCAATATCTTACAGTTGAATCTGCCAAAACTCTTGTATTGTCACTTATAATTAGTAAACTTGGTTATTGTAACTGTTATTGGCCGTTGCATCAAAGACACAGATAGCCAAGCTGCAGACGGGTAATTAAGCATCCAGCACTAACTAATCTCCATAAAAGAGCCCATTTTGATTGGTGTTTGGCCCGACTTCAGTGGAGGAAGGTCCCTTGGTCGGACGAGAGCCGCTTCCTTTTACACGTCAAAGATGGCCTTCAACGTGTTTGGAGGACCAAAAACACTGCGTATGTGCCAAGAAACATGCAGGCTTCAGTTCCGTTTGGTGGGGGGTCAGTTATGTTCTCGGGATGCCTTACCCATGACTGTAAGCTGGATCTGATCAAGGTTCGGGGAATCTCAATGGCGATAGCTACATCCGGGACATCCTTGACCCCGTCCTTGTACCTTATTTTGACAATCATGCTTTAGCTACTCATCCTTTATTCATGGATGACAACACTCAGCCTCACCGTTCCCGTGAAGGAGTATCTTCAAAACAACGCCTTCACCCAACTCCCCTGGCCTGTTATGAGTCCAGATATGAATCTTTTAAAACAAGTCTGGGACATTATTTGACGTCGAATCTAAAAACTGGAACCTCGTCCACAGAATCTTGCTGGTTTAGAGGCTGCATTGCATCGTGAGCGGCAGCAGCTGCCTTTAGAACTAATTCGCCGACTCACAGGAGGCATGCGGAGAAGGGTCGACGCCTGGCTCGTGGCATCATCCTGGCTCGTGGCGGGTACACTCCCTACTGACATTTTGTTGGTGATTTGTCTTCTTGATACCTCACAGAACACTTTCTGCCAGAAATGAACTTATCTGTGTCTTTGTTGATCTCCACAGCACCAAAGTATAATTTTGCTGAAATTCCCACTTCAGACTCACATGTCTAAAAAAAGATTAAAACATGTTATCACCTTTTACCATTGTGTGTTATTCATTACTCAATAAGTTCAACTTTCATGATAGAGTAGTGTTGGAACCATTCTTGACTTGGTATGATGACAGTTTTACATCACACTTATCCAAAGTTGGCAAAATCGGATGTCGCTTAATTAATTTCCATTTGTATATTTTCAAAATGTATGTTTTGTAGGCTGTCTGCATACATGCATTTTACAGTGAGCCTTCATAAGATACTTATTTACACTATGGCGTAATTTCATGATGAACCGGTAAGCCAATTTTGTGATATTTCATGGAATGTACATGAATACTGCATTGCTTTGCATCGAAAAGCCAGCTTTGACAAGGCAAGGAGGCCATACCCCATCTGTGTATAGGTTTGAGCCCCGGCCTTTAAGTATTATATGGATCATAATATGAACTATTAGATACTTTAATATTGGAAATTGGGGTGGTCCTTAACTTTTGTTGTTGAGTATATAAAGATGAACTAGGCTTGTGCAAACTGTCTGTGTTAGCATGTTGAACTCGAGTCATTCAAAATGTACCTTGTTAATGTGAATATATTGACCAGCTGGTATTTGACTGGACTAGGATGATAATAATGAAGTTACAACACCAGATGTATCATAACTGACCTGTCACTGACCCCTAGTACAGTCACTGACACTGTTGAGGCTCATGCTGGCCCATAATTTCATTTTGATCATGTCATTTGTTTATGATTTGATGATCACTGTTTTTATTCATTGATAATGTTTGTGACAAGAAAACACATACTTCAATGTCTAAACATTGCAAACCTTCAGTTTGATTTGCTATATGCCATATAAATGTGTATGTTATGGTTGGAATTAACATTACCTTTAACACGTCATTGGTGCTGAGAAAGGCTGTAGGTGAATTCGTAACCAAAACCGGTTCGTAGACGTGGAAATCCGGTGGATTCGTAGACGGATTGAGCGGTGAATTCGTAGACGTTATTAAAATGGGAAAAGTTCATCCTCAATGATGAAGAAAATCAACGAAAAGTGTTTGCATTTTGTGAAATAAATAAAATATATCAGGTAAGTATGATCGGCGGTGAAAATATCCGTAAATAATAAAATAACAAAATATGCTTCACAGTGGTCTATGTCACAAATTCACAAAAAATCATAGGCCGCTAATATTAAATTCAGTTGTGTAAAATTAAAAGATATGTATTAGGTAAGTATCGTCATTCAACATTTAACTACGCAGACCAGCAGAGAAGTAGCAGAAAACACTTCTTAAGAAAACACTTACATCTCCCACACAGAGTACTTCGCAATCAAAACAACTCACCACTTCCTAAATAACATTCACAACAACTCAGTGAAACCAGTTAACATCTAAGTAAAATTCAAACTATATATTCAATTATTTATACACGTCTACGAATTCACCGTCTACGAACCGGTTTTGGTTACGAATTCACCGCGTCTACGAACTGGTTTTGTCTACGAAATCACCGTCTCCCCTGAGAAACAACTCCACATCATTTAATGTTGTGCAATTACCCAGTAAAATCCTTGTGGAATATGTAAGACACGTTTCTGGAATTTCCACATTGGTGTATTGTTATTTAAAAGTTTTAACTTTTTTTGTTAAATAAACTTTCAAACATTGTCCAGCCATGACCAAGTGTTGGTGATTCATGTGGGTGTGACCTAGCCTACTACCTGACAGTTGAACAAATGCTAACAACAGCAACAAATGAAAGCATGCATAAAGTAACTAAACAATGGACGTGAGTTAATGGTTCATCCAAATCGTTGCTAGTATTAGTTATTTTATCATACAATGGATAGTGTTCTCGGCAGGATAAAGCCAATGGATATTTTCAGTATCCGTTGGGGTCATATACAGATATCGATGCAAATTAGAGAGGTCATATGCAAATTTCAGGGTCTACTTTCACAGTGTAAACAAACATGGCGTCAAGGGACGGCGGTCGTGTCCGGATTGATGGCCGTGGTTACGGTACTGTCAGTGCTTTGATCCAATAAAATTCATGCCTGGTTATGATAGATGTAGTAGATTACAAAGCGAAGATAGAAATTCATAGGCTTACGAAAATACCAACATCAGTTCCCCGACCGACTGTCAGTGTTTGCGAGAGAACGGCATAGGAATCCAAGTGCACAATGTCACGCGAACATTAAAGCGTAGTTTGTTGTTCAAAAGGTTAATTGAAGGTTTCTGAAGTTTCTTAGACGTAAGCTAAGATTTGTTGACAACAAAAGCTTACTGGGAACTAGATGACCTAACGCAGTCAGCTGAGTGATCAGGAGAAAATTATGTCACCGGGCTTGTGACGTAACGTATTACTCCGCACATATTTGTGACGTCATAGACATTCCACGAAATTTAGTTTCATGATTTGTGGCATTTGAAATCGCATTTTCTTAAATTATAAAGCAAAAATGACATTGTATGATAAATAGGTTATCACACTCGTGTGTTTTGGGATGGTTAATATCCTGCATTAGGAATAAACACTATGTATTGAGCTCGCCAAGGCTCGCTAATAGACTATAAATACAATGCTTATTCCTAATGCAGGATATTAACCATCCCAAAACACACTCGCGTGATAACCTATATAGATCAGAATTTCAAGACTAATATTCACTGATATAATTAAGCTGTAATCAAAGCTTGGAAATGTATAGTGTTATAGGGATCAAGCTTTCTTGAAATATTTCATTTACATTGCTCACCTCAATTGATAAACAAAGTAATTGACAGTCTCAAGTTTTCACCTCTCCCATGTGAAATGTGTTTGTTTCAGTTAACACTATGACTCAGCTTCTGGGAGCCTGTCGAGCACTGTGTACTGCTGCAGTATCAAGCTTCTCTCAGTACCTGCTGCAGCATACCCACCAACACACAGGTATATATGTGCACTGTGAGCCCTGCTTCAAATGGTGGACAACCCACAAGCTTAGGTGTTAGTATCACATTACTCTTGAGAAGAGTGTAAACAAATTATAAACATCCTTTTGTTATGCATCCCATGTTGATTTTTGACTTGATATAAATGGTTTTTAAAAATGAAAATTCCATTTCATGAATCAAAACTCCAATCTAGGTAACGGATAAAGTATTGTAACCCACTGTTTACCACGGAGCCACCATGGCAGATGGTGAAAGGTTGTTCAATCTTACACATCTCCAACTAAATCTGCATCATGCTGCATGTGGCCCTGCTCTCATGGACGTCACAGAATTGGTACTTTATCTAGGCTACTGTATTGTTTTATTATGAATTCTCTGAATGTTGTATTTTCATTCTTTATTCTAAACTGTTCACGGGATAGTTGAAGCACTCATTCTCAGTTGGCCTGGGCATTCAACTTGTTTAGGTCAGGTGAGTACATGCCCTGGCCAACTGCATAATAAGGTCAACATGAATATGTCATGGTCCTTAAGCTTGCTTAGGTCAGTCTATGACATGCCCTAGTCATTCAGTTTCAGTCATAACTAACAAGATATATTATAAGTTGTTCACTGGTCATTCAGTTTCAGTCATAACTAACAAGATATATTATAAAGTAATGCTATTTTTGAGGGCATTATCATTTGCAGAAGCCCGAGGTCTTCCATTAACTGCCCGGCCGAAGGAGGGCAGTTGAAAACCGACCGAGGGCTTCTGCAAATGATAATGCCCTCAAAAATAGCATTACCGTTATTATTGCTAAAATACATGGAATTTGTGTAGAAAGGAAAAAGGAAACAATGAAGGAATTTGACTGTAAGTTTACCCAAATCAACTTCTGACGGGGTTGACTGCCCAAATGCAATTACGTCATCGAACAATTTAAGTGACGTCACAACAGAAAGTGACGATATTCCACCTTGGCCTTTGACAAGACCATAGCCTGCAACATGTCAAACTATGTCAGTGTTCGGTTTTGGTCCATCAACAACCTTAATAGTGCAATTGTTAAGGTTAGCACCTACAAAAAAGCCAATATTACCGCAATTTAAAGCGGGAATGCGGGTTGCTTTGACTTGTTTGACCCAGAATATCTGCCAGTCGAAAGCCACTAATGTCGAACTATGACGTCACTTGACAACAGAACTGATAGTGGCCCGTCGTTAAGGTTGAGGGGTCCAATATCATTTGCAGCGGCCCGCAAATTTCTGATAATGGGAGGGTCGTTTCATGATAATTCCATGTATTTTAGCTATAATATAAGTTGTTCACTGGTCATTCAGTTTCAGTCATAACTAACAAGATATATTATAAGTTGTTCACTAGTCATGCAGTTTCAGTCATAACTAACAAGATATATTATAAGTTGTTCACTAGTCATTCAGTTTCAGTCATAACTAACAAGATATATTATAAGTTGTTCACTATTCAGTTTCAGTCATAACTAACAAGATATATTATAAGTTGTTCACTGGTCATTCAGTTTCAGTCATAACTAACAAGATATATTATAAGTTGTTCACTAGTCATGCGGGGGACATGGGTTGATATACCCTCAGTGATTGCCTTCGGGCTCAGGGAACATAAACAAACAGAGGGTACATCAACCCATGGGCCTCAAAGGAGCAGTGAACACCTCTTTTATCTTACCAAACACCTCAATGTTACTTTTGAACTGTTTAAGGCATGGGTATTGGATCATAATGAGTACCAGAGTTAGGCAATAGGTCAAACACTACGAATGTGAAGTACTAAACAAATTCCCACAGTTCGGCATTTCTAGCGGGTAACATAAAAAATGTTACTCACTTGTAAGTTGGGTACATTGATTGGCTTAGCCAATCAGAAAACGACATTTATGTGTGGGGTAAGATAACTAATGTTGCTATGACCCTTAATTACTTGTACATAATGGTTAGTCACGCCAAAGACTGGGTTCGATTCCCCACATGGGTACAATGTGTGAAGCCCATTTCTGGTGTCCCCCGCCGTGATATTGCTGGAATATTGCTAAAAGCGGTGTTAAGCCATACTCACTCACTCACTCACATAATGGCTATTTTTGCAGGAACTATTTTGAACCAAGTCAGAAGCATGTCAACTCTGAATCAGATGCACAGACGAGGGGCTTTCAAGAGACCACCACCTAAACCTGGCCCGCTTGATTGCCGGCCATTTCTTCGTGGCGTTGTCTTGAGAACTCTCATTAAGAAACCAAAGAAACCAAATTCTGCAAATCGGAAGTGTGTCCGAGTCCGATTAAGCAATGGTAAAGAAGTGACAGCTTACGTTCCTGGAGAGGGCCACAACCTGCAGGAGCACAGTATTGTGCTTGTTCGAGGGGGAAGGGTGCAGGATCTCCCAGGAGTCAAACTCAAGTGTGTCCGAGGGAAGTATGACCTGACACATGTCAAAAAGGACAAGAAGTGATCCCAGTTTCAATGGTCAATGAATGAAAGAGTGACTGCCATGTTAGAGAACTAGACATTGTGGAGTGTGTGAGCACATGAGACAAACATTTCATTTTGCATGGCATCTTCTTGGATGAATAAAATCTTGCAAATTATTGATTGCTGCTTGCTGTCTTTGCTTGGTTGATATTGTAAGTTAGAAAAATACATATTGCTTGGGTGAGTGAATTAGTGCAGGTGCATCCCACCTTAAGCTTCAGATTGAGTACATAAAATACATTACGTAATGACTGTTCTGGCCTACTAAACATTGCATCTTTAATCGCTTTGTCAATTATCATGAGTTAATACTTACAGATGTCACCAATACTGACAGTTGTTGGAATAGTTTTGTGAAATTGAAGGTTATAATCTTGACGACACAGTCAAACAGTTAATGAAACCCTTAGGTTTATATATAACATAAATTTCAAATTACTGGTACATGTGGAATTACAGATGAAATGGTTCTGAGATGACGTTTACAGAAATCTCAATGCTGGACAAGCAGGCTGAGACTCCCAACTTGCCCCGCCTTGGAGCCGTGAGAGTTGACAGTGCAAGTGCAAACAATAATATGAACTTTTAAGTTCTTAGGTTCCAAGTAGAAATTCATTCTCTAAAAATGGCAATAATTCAGGATATGAATAGAACATCCAGATGTCTTATCCTTACTTGATTAAGAAATAAAGATCAAGTAAAATTCTAGGGTCTAACAGGCAGCTTGGGTTATGCGGGGTAATACTGTGTTAGAACATAATAGACTAGAATAGAATAGAATAATGCGCTTGAGCATACCTTTATGGCGTGGTGACAGCGAAATACAAATGCCATTATTATGTTTTACAGATTAGGATGAAAAATGCAGCAGAGAGGGTTCGGGTGATCCTGGCACCATCATTATTACCCCCCCGGCATGTAATGCAGGGGATATAGTCGTCGCCTCGTCCGTCTGTCCGTCCGTCCGTAATCATTTTGTTTCCGGAGCATAACTCCAAGACCATTCGATATTTTTCAACAATAATTTGTAGATATATCAAACAGAACCTAAGGTGGTGCCTTTTGCTATTTACAGATTTTTGGCATTTTTATTTTTCTCAGTTTCCATGGAAACGTTTTGGAGCATAACTCAGAAATCGTTCAGTATTTTTCTGCAAAACTTGGAAGATATATCAAACAGAACCCAAAGTGCTGCCTTTTGCTATTTACAGATTTTTGTGATTTATTATTCGGACTTAGTCTCAAAAAGGAGGGGTGGGTTTCGTTTCCGGAGCACAACTTGAAAACTTCTTAATATCTTTCAGCAAAACTTGGCAGATATGTGAGGCAGATCCCAAAGTGGTGCCTTTTGCTCTTCACAGATTTTTGGCATTTGTATTTTTCTAGGTTTCCATGGAAACGATTCGGACTTAGTCTCAAAAGGGAGGGGTAGGTTTCATTTCCGGAGCACAACTTGAAAACCGTTTAAATATCTGTCAACAGTACTTAGGAGATATATGAGACAGATCTTGAAGTGATGCCTTTGCTATTTACAGATTTTTGTCTTTTTTATTTTTCTAGGTTTCCATGGAAACGATTTGAACTTAGTCTCAAAAGGGAGGAGTGGGTTTCGTTTTCGGAGCATAACGCGAAAACTTCTTAATATCTTTCAACAAAACTTGGCAGATATGTGAGGCAGATCTTGAAGTTGTGCCTTTTGCTGTTTACAGATTTTTGACATTTTTATGGGGATATCATGTATATTCGGTGTTTCTTACATCTGTCATGAGTATGTGGTGAGTGAGTGGTGTGTGTGGTCCTGTGCATAGAGCTCAGGTCACGAATCAGTTGAAGTTAAGCAATATCGAGCATGGAGTGACCTTAGATGGGTGACCATGTTTGGCAGCTTGACTCCTGAGAGTTTCTTGGACTTCAGTCCTGCCCCACAACGAAGCACATGTGATACCTTAGGCAAGTGAGTTTGTTCAAAAATTGCCACTGTACACCCAGCAGAAAATGTGTACCCAGTGAGATAAGTCGTGTGACTATTAACCTCCTAGCACCGCACAGGCAGCATGGGTTATCCGGGATAATAATCAGATTCTGATTACAGCATCCAGTGTGCAACTAGTCAGATGAATACCAGGCGCTATGTAAATGAATTATTAGGGCTCCTTGCTGCAAAGCAGGAGACCTATTGGAATTGTTCACATTTTGTTCCACTCGTACAAAAAGCACCACTGGACGGAAACTGTCAAAATAAATCATGTGGATGCGCCCCAATGTGAACTAGTGCATATAAAAATCCATCATCCTAGGCCCCAAAACAAAGGGGAGATAAATCAAAATTAATTAAAAAAAATTAATTTCCAGAGCAATAATCTCCAAAACTACTGATCCAGTGACTACCAAAGTTCTTGTGCAGATGCCCAATCAAAATGTCTACAATTTTAAGTGTAGGACCCATGTAGCTACAAGGCACCGTTTCGCCGCTATATTGGATTCAAGTTTTTGGCGGTGTTTTTCAGCAAATTCCTGAGGAACTGTCTCCCAAAATCTGCTGCACTGAAACTATAAGAGCTACGGCTCCCAAAGTTTGCATATTTTGTCTCTATACACCTCCCTAACCAGGGTCATCGGCAAATGGGAATATGTGGATATGATAGCCGCCATATTGGATGCTACTTCTGGGCAAAAGTTATCTTCAAAAACTTCCACAGGCTTGTTTGCGATTTTTGGGCAAACCAAACTTGCCAGATACATTTTGAAAGCTGTTCCGCACATTATGTGTGTGTGTGTGTGTGGGCCCGATAGCTTAGGTCCTGGCGCTTCCAGAACACTAATTCTTTCCCGTCTATGCCCAAGGACAACGGAGCTACTGTCTGTTAAAGAGGGAACTATTTCTTCTCCAGAACTATTTAGAAGGGTACATGACCCCCTCAATCCCGGTTGTATTTGGAAGATCCGCTCGCCTGTCAAAAACGTGTTCTGGCTGCGTTTTGGACGATTTCCAGCCCTCTAATATGCTTCAAACAACCGTAACTCTGAAACCAACCGTTTGATTTCGACTAAACTTCATTAATGCATTTTACGCTATAGTGCCGAGTAGGCCTATCAATTGCGTCAGTATAGCTTTAAAGACAACGGAGGGACAAGTATAATGATATTTTCTTCACTTGAGCTGCTATCTTCATCGGTTCTGTAAAGAGCATAATGAAAGTTAGCAGTATATATCTCAAAAGTTTGCTGATTACCTTCTGTTCTATGGTGCATGTGAAAAGTTTCACCGTTTGGTAGATATCTTTTTCATGATTGCTAGCGTTAATTGAGAAAGCTGACGGAAGCTCCAGTAAAAAATCTACCAACAACCCTCACTCGCTGGCTTTCCAATGCCGAAAGAGCAAATCTACTTTTGGTATCAATTGTGGTTTGTCTATGGTTCTAAGTGGCCTGTTTACAGGTGTTGTGTACTCCTAAAATTTAGTATATTTCCTTGCTCTGGAGTTCAGAAGTTCTGTTGCGACAGCGTGATAATAATAATAATAATAATAATAATAATAATAATAATGTGTCCATTTATATAGCGCCAAACTCCACACTAGGTATGCTCATAGCGCTAACAATCATGGCACAGCACATTATTACCCCGGATAACCCAAGCTGCCTGTTAGGCGCTAGAAGGTTATAGTCATATGACTTTTTCCACCGGGTACCCATTTACCTGCTGGGTGAACAGAGACAATTTTGAACAAACTCCCTTGCCTAAGGTGAGACCACTTGTGTCACTTCTGCTTCGTTGTGGGGCAGGACTTAAGTCCTAGAAACTCTCAGGAGTCAAGCTGCCAAACACGGTCACCCATCAAAGGACTCTCCGAGCTCGACGCTGCTTAACTTCACCGATTTGTGACCTGAGCTTTGAGCACAGGACCACGCGCCACCACAATAGTAACAGTGTAATGGATACTGACACTGCCTATAGAAATACCTTACTTGCTGTGGATTCACACGGTCAGTTGTGACAACATGAGACAAACAGTGTAATGGATATTAATAGGGGCTGTAGAAATACAGCACCCGATCGCCTCGTGTCAACATTTCAACTAACTTTGCAACCGTTGAAATATAAGCTGAAATGGCGCAAGTGTTGTGTCTACTAACAGCTAAATGTTGATCACGACTTCTCAGGCACCTCTATCAGCAGTTAATGCGATAGAAGGTGGGCATTTTCGGCAGTGACGTAATGTCATGACTTTCTCACGCGATCACTTCTCCCAGTAACAGTTGTTGATATTGGCGGTTGACTTCGCACCAGCTATCAAACGGGCAAATAGAATTTCCTCGTTTTAACATCCCACTGACATCTAAAAGTGTAGAAACACTAATAGTACTTACATTTCATTAAGATTTTATTAGGCATTTAAATAACTTTGTGGAAGGATACTTTGAACCAAAATTTCTCACTAGATTTAATATTTCTAGCACCCGGCGCATCCTTTGCTGATGAAATAGCGAAATCTTGTTATTAAAACAGAAATAGTTGCTTTTAATTCTGTTGGTCTTATTTCAAGAAATCACAACCAAAATCATTTGGACTATATTGCTATGGTAATGAACATTCAGCTGGAACTGGTATGAATATTGTAAGTCAAATTTACACCAGTTGAACCACCAAAGTGAATACAGTGAATGACGTTGTCTATCCAACTAGTTCGATGTTTGTGCTGGTGGAGTTGAATTTCCAAGATTCATCACAAGCTCGGTAACAATTAAAATCTGTTAACAAGGTCCATGGAAATTTTTCCTACATGTTCTTGAAGTTCACTGGAAACATTTGTTCTGTTGTTTGACAGACAGACATACGTTTTGATTAATATTATGTGAATCACAGTGTGAATCTTGCATCTTTTTTAGCTAAGGTTACCAATTGTCTGTGTTTTTTTGTTTTGTTTTTTTATAGTTTGACCAGGTTGTTCTGCCTTGACATTCCTTTTCCCCCGAGACACCAAATGATATTCTTAAATCCAGATACAAGTATGTAAGATTTCTATAAACTAATCTAAACTTACAGGACGCTCAGTACTTCCAGTTCAAAAACTTGCAGATAGAAGCAAAACATTGTCAAAACTGGCGGTGATGTCATTTATTCAGTTAAAACAAATAAATAATTTGCAATTGAACCCAAAACCAGTGTGCTTATTCTGTTGAAGTTCTATTAAAGTCAGCATCTGTTTCCGAAGCCACAAGTATCATTATCCAAACCATACCACACAATACTTTGTATCTAATCCTCGACCACAAGAATTCGAAGTTAATCACTGAAGTATTTCTCATTACTTACAGTGATATGATCCATATTAACGGTAGCCATTAATATTTTCACAACCACGTGACAGATAAAAATGGCTAGATTGAAATAAAGCCAAGGAGCCCTCATCGCTGCTCAGTAGCTATGTTTATTATTATTATCATTATTGTGGTTGAGAACACTACTGATGTCAGCCCTCTAATTTGCCCCAACAAAGGCCTACTTAAGGTCCAAGCAGGTCAGGTGCTGAGAATTCAGGATGCATGTCATGAGAACTTTGTATCCTTGAAACACACACACATATGTTTCAGTTCAAACTAACTTTAACTCCACACACATGGGGTACACCAGCTGGCTGTCCCGACAGTTTGCTCTGTAACTGTACTATACATCCACAACCCATGTATAATCATGACTGGTAAGCCTCCCATGGTTAATAATACATATATTAGCAATGACTCATGCTGTTCTGAGAGATCATTAGCACAGGAAACAAACGACAATCAGTGTTCAAAAACAAACTTGGAAAAGAGAGATTAAAATATTTATTTCTCCAAATATCCCTCAAACATCATTGCATGTTAAGTGACAACCAAGAACTTGTCCACTGAAAAGGGTGAACACAATACAAACATTTTTACAATGAGAACCAAATGGTGCCTAGTGAACCCTGACTTCCTTCTTCACTGATGTAACAACCAGTGCTAGCTCCAGAACAAATAACCATTTCCCACACACAATTGGCATTAACTCTGTTGTTCTCCATTGTGGTACAATCACATCAAGAATGGCTTACAAAAATATATATATGTTTGTATATATGTATATATAGATATATATATTTATAATGTATATGGCTACCTTTTATCTGATGGTACAAAGCAAGATGCTTGTTACAGAGCCTAGGAGGAAGGGTAGTCAGCTCATTTGTTCAACATCAAAATTATATATGGAAGATCAACATTTTAAAAGTTAACTTTTTTAAAACTCTTTAACAAATTAAATTAACAATTTCAAACTGTAATAACAGCATTTTTTGAGAACACGTAATTCCTTCTATTGAAGACAACAAAAATACCAGAAGCAGGTCTCACATGACAAATTCTATAAAACTTTTAACGTATTTGAATACAACAATGTACCTGATGGTGACTACACCACAGTATAGATACTGACCATAGTGATGTAGAATGGCACTGCAGGACACTGTGTTATTTATATATGTTCATGCATACATGTCATGGCAGAGAATCAGCTGACATATTTAGTGTTCCCTTTAGAAACAAATAAACATTAACAGCTCAATCATCAAACATACAGACCCATTCTTGTGTAATAGTCATTCTCAGAACCATGTGATCAGCTCATTCCTAACTGAAAACAGAAACAAGCAATTCACCAAGGATCACACAATATTGGAATGAACTTTAACCAACAAATTTATATTTCATGATACATGACAGAGGAAGTTCCTATATCATTCTTCCCTGTATGAGTTTGACAATTTTACACAATTATTACAAGACGATTGCTGGTGCTTGTGAGGCTTCAAGTTAACATCCACTGTTAAATAGACAGTTCAAACTGCAAGTGAGCTCTTAACGTATTTCAGTTTTACAATTTATTTGGGATCTTTTAAATTATTCATATTCAGAACATACTGTTAGCGTTTCAATAGTCATGTGCAGAGATTGTATTATGGAAGACTTCTCCCTGTAGACTGTGATGGTTCTGTTACAACCTCAGGCGGAGTCGGTATCTTGGAAATGCTATACATGTGAGTGAGTGAGTTTAGTTTACGCCGCTTTTAGCAATATTCCAGCAATATCACGGCAAGGGACACCAGAAATGGGTTTCACACATTGTACCCATGTGGGGAATCGAACTCTGGTCTTTGGCATGACGAGCGAACGCTTTAACCACTAGGCTACCCCACCGCCTCACTATACATGTGAACCCACTGTGACAAATATTTTCTTCCTTTTCTTCAATATACGTCCTTCCATCTGTAACATACACCAATTGCTCCCCTAAACACACATCAATAAAGTTGGCTTTAGTACACACCAGGTTGCTTTCAAAGCTAATGATGAGCTTTATCAGTTTAGTGTTTCCAGACCAGGGGCCTCTCTTAAACTGAAAATACTGTAAGTGTCTCAACAGTACACGTAACTGACGATAACTACAAAGATTTCAAACTTTTTCTTGTTGTCTTCCTGTGTCATTTTATTCATGAATACAAAGAACTTACTGTAAGAAAAGAGTGGTGTGCAGTACAACAGGAATATGCATTAAGTGTGGTACTGGTTGTAGAACAAAAGCAAATGACCAAATGCTTGCTTAGCTAGCATTTTGCAGTTTTTACTTTAACTGCTTTCTCTCAAACCATAGGAGGATCTACAGTTGAATACACACATAGTAATCAGAGACACAGAATAACCTGCAATTATGCTCAGCATGCACACTGTGTGGTGTGATTTTCTCAAAAACATCTCAGGTCATTGAAAGTGACAAGATTTATGCTAGAAGGGATGAACTAGATTACGTAACGCATCAGTTTCCAATAGGACTGTCACAGTTCCCCTGTGAGTTGTAAAGCTACCTAAGCTAGCCTAAATAACATATAGTCTGCACAAAATACAGGTATTTTAAGATGTGCACACTTGCAGATTGAACACTTCATTATTCTACACAACAGAAAAGCATGTATAAAGGTTCTAGCATATTATCATTTACTGTTATTAAGACCTGGTTAAAACCCACAAAACAAATTTATTTTAAGATGTAGGAAAGGCATTGTAGACATAATTATGAAGTGTTCAGCAGTAGCACATCACTGGGATCACGTCCACAGCATCACATCATCACTGGGATCACGTCCACAGCATCACGTCACTACTGGGATCACGTCTACAGCATCATGTCACTACTGGGGTCACGTCCACAGCATCACATCATCACTGGGATCACGTCCACAGCATCACGTCACTACTGGGATCACGTCTACAGCATCATGTCACTACTGGGATCACGTCCACAGCATCACGTCACTACTGGGATCACGTCCACAGCATCACGTCACTACTGGGATCACGTCCACAGCATCACATCATCACTGGGATCACGTCCACAGCATCACGTCACTACTGGGATCACGTCCACAGCATCACATCATCACTGGGATCACGTCCACAGCATCACATCATCACTGGGATCACGTCCACAGCATCACGTCACTACTGGGATCACGTCCACAGCATCACGTCACTACTGGGATCACGTCCACAGCATCACGTCACTACTGGGATGTTGACAGTAGCACACCAATACTGGGATTACGTCACTACTGGGATCACGTCCACAGCATCACGTCACTACTGGGATCACGTCCACAGCATCACGTCACTACTGGGATCACGTCCACAGCATCACGTCACTACTGGGATCACGTCCACAGCATGATGTCACTACTGGGATCACGTCCACAGCATCACGTCACTACTGGGATCACGTCCACAGCATCACGTCACTACTGGGATCACGTCCACAGCATCACATCATTACTGGGATCACGTCCACAGCATCACATCATTACTGGGATGTTGATAGTAACACATCAACACTGGGATCATATCAACGACATCCCATCACTAATGGGATCATGTCATTACTGGGATCACGTCCACATCACGTCAATACTGGGATCATGTTCACAGTAGCACATCATTACTGGGATGTCAACAGTAGCCCATCATTACTGGGATGTCAACAGTAGCCCATCATTACTGGGATGTCAACAGTAGCCCATCATTACTGGGATGTCAACAGTAGCACATCATTACTGGGATGTCAACAGTAGCACATCATTACTGGGATGTCAACAGTAGCACATCATTACTGGGATTATGCCCACAGTAGTACTAACATTTTGTGAACCAGCACAATATTAACACAGGACAAACTCCACCAACAGGCAGGAATCAACAAAATCACATTGTCATCTTGGTTAGATTGAGGAAATCACTCATGGTTTCCTTGAAACAGTTAACATTTGCTACCTGACAAGGGTTATGTACACAAACTATGCATGATAATGGTTGGCGTGGGATCATATAACCCTCTTCTACCAATCAGAGCACACACACACACAGATGATGCCATTTGACATAACATGAAGGAAAAGTGTTTCCATAAAGACATTACATGTAGTATTAAACCTATTGGCCAGCCTCTATGACCATTTCATTCAAAGGCTTTAAGACTGATGAAGTATGTCATAACTGTTTTATCTGATACAGGTTCAAAATTAATTAATTTGAATTACAGCTTATACCATAAGACAAAAGATATGTCCAAATCATCTGGTAACCAAGTGTTGTAGTATATAGTACACACTTATAAGTCCTCAATAGAAAGGTGATTTATTACAAACCTATGGCTAATGGCCAGTAAATCTACCTTATAAGAGGTAAGGCATTCCAACCTTTCCTCTTTCTAAGAAACCAAACAAGTTACTGATTTATGGGCACTTCTTTGTTTTTGCATTTGATCTTTTGTCAACATTTCATTTGTTTTGGTTTCACCTGCATAATGGCCCCCAATTCTGTTTAGAAATATTAGAAAGGTCTGGCCTAGGTACAAAAATGGAGAAACAAAAAATGACATGTTGGTTTCAGCAGTGATATTGAGCTCATTCGTAGCAGCCATAGTGCTAGGCTAGATACAAACAAGGCTGAGAAAGTGCATTGTAATAATGGCTGAGATCTACATAATTAGACACATAAAATCTACATCAGTATCACTGGCGATAGTGTGCTCTGTGTAACATCATTTCATTCAACTACTCATTTTCAATAGAGTTGGAAAAACTAATACAAGGAACAACTACACATGTTGTTATAATGATGCTTAACAGATTTTCCAAAGGATGAATAGTTTTTTTCTTGTAGAGAGTTTGTGAGTAGTGGCTGGTGCTATGACACTGGGCCTGCAGTCCATATCCACACCAGCACACAGCTACATGTACATACACAAACCAACAACACACCCTCACAGATCAGATGCTTTCATAATAATCTCGCTACTTTATACATCAACTTTAATGAAATGACATAACAGTTGGAATAAATTAATGTGCATCATTAAAACCAAAAAACATTTGTCAACACAAGGCTTCCATAGCTTATAAGTTCTCCTAAGCAATAATGTTATATAGTGATTATTAAGTAAATGAGAGGTCTGCGACTACACCCAAGTTGACATCTTTATAACGCTCCTCTGTGAAATCAGATCTTAGTATGCAGATACTCTGGAATGCAAATGGTGTCTCTAGACAATCTAGTTGGAGGCCCTAGGCCCTGTTCAGCTTGCCTTCTGCACTATAGCAATATACAAACATATAGAGCCAGTGATCTGCAGCCCAAGAAGCCACATTAGCCATGCCATCCTACTGCCAGCCCACTGATCATAATGTGACAGCATGCACACAACCAAATTGTACCTGTTTGATTATCATTTGAGTAACAAGCACAGAGAAAGCTCCAACGTGGAAAACTTGGATGTTGATGAAGTTGTTTTGGCAGTTTTCCTCTCTGGACATGTTGCACATCCACACTAGTTTGGAAGGACTGTATGGAACCAGTAGCTTAACTTAAATAGCTATCTACAACATATATCACATATATTTCCATTCACAAATGCATTCATTTGAATTTGTCAATTAGATTCCCAACATAAATGTTTCCTATAAGGAAGATAAGGATGGGATCCTCAGCAATATTTCAGCACCGCTCTAGCCATTGACAATAACAAAATAGGAAAATATCCATTGAAACATTTACTATGGCTCCACACGTGTTATGTGCTACAAACATGAAAATATATTTTGGGCCAAGAATACAACACACAATCTGTCACAGCTCCAGAAGGCACAATATGGCAGGTCACATGACAGCCCTCAACACCAAGGCTTACGAAAGACGAAATGAGTAGCACTACAGTGTGGGCCAGCTGTGCGGAGGAGTCAAGATGCAGGCTGTCATGCACTGGCAGGAGGTTCTGTCGGCAGTGAAAGCTACCTAGCACACACTTCCCATACAGCACGCTATACACAAACACATTCAGGCAGCAGTTTATCTGGGGCTAGCAATCACACATCTGCCTGTGAACACTGTGAAATCTTCAGATCTTGTCTTGATGGTGACTACATGTCACTGTCTTTAAGACTATACGGTGCTTACTGCATGTATCCAAGGGCTTGTGGTGATCTCTCTACACATTGGATTAGCTGCTCCTACAGTCTCCATGCCCTTGAGTTGGCATCTACGTAGGAAGTGTTTATATTTTAACACAGGACATTCCGGGGCAGCGTGACAGTAATGTCAGCAGTAGACCTCAGCTGGTATCTGCCTCAGCAGCAGACCATGTTCCACAAGTCACGGGCCTGCCATCATGTAAAACTGTGTTCAGCTGTGGAAACATAAAGACAAAACACTTCTTTACATAAAAAATTTCAATAACAGTTTGCTTGGGGGAAATGGGAGCAGTAGTGTTTTTTCAGATCATTGGTGTGTTGAACAAATATCTTCCCTATCCCCCAGCCCCGACAGTGTTGGACTCCTGGTTTTCATGCTGGTTGTAGCTTTTTAATACTGTGACATCAACTTTTGCTATTGCGATCAGAATGGAAAAAGAAATGAACTGTGTGAATGAAGACAAAGTCAAAGTGCAAACATATTGTTTTAAAAAAAATGTAATGGTTTTGCAATATGATCAAAATTGAATAGATTTAAGTCCAACTTGATTCCACAATGATGCTAAAACACTAATCCTCCAAGAAATATTCTACAACACTGTAACTCACATGGATATTTTGCACTGCCTTTTAACACGTTGACTGCCACCAGAGTATAGTCGTAGTATCAATGTCTGGCCGAATGTGCCACTACGAGTTATCTCGTAGCTGCATCAATGATATTTTGAAACAGGTTTCACATGTTTGCAAAACAGGCACAAGGAGCAATCGTCTTCTAGCGTTCTTTGTTACTTGTTTGTTTCTTGTGCCTATTTTGCCAACATGTGAAACTTGTTTCAAAATATCATTGATGTAGCTACGAAATAACTCGTAGTGGCAAATTCAGCCAGACACTGATACTACGAGTATACTCGTGATAGGCAGTCAACGTGTTAATGAATACTCCAACATTTGCAACATATACAATCTCTAGCCTACTTGATGAGAAACCAAATGTTAAGGTCAACTCTTAATAAACTCTGAATAAGGAATTCAAAACAGACAGTACCATGCTTAACCTAACTTAATGTGAAAAATAACAAAGAATAATATAGTATGGGTACGGGTACGGGTATGTGCAAGTCCCGTAGATGCTGGTGAAAGATCTTGGGTACATAAAACAGATTTGACAAGCACAAAACATTTGGACTCTTTAAATAGTTGATGATTATGCACCTGAAGAAATCACTTGTCTAAAGAGCAAATCCTCTGATCGTTACAGCAAATCCTACAAGTGTGATCTGTCCAACTAGATAACAGTATTCCTACCTAATCTGTCCGTCTGTTCACAAGAGCTATCAAAACAATACCAAGGACTGAGATTCAGAACTTTGTACTTGTATGTCAGGTCCTTCTTTTGTAGAAGTACGAGTAGTGGATTTAATCAGGAAAAGTACATCCCGCTGACTGAAGTCAGTCAAAGTTATTGCCATGAAAACAGACAAAATATAATTCACTATAACCCACAATATCAAAAGGTACCAGTTGACAAACTGATTTGTGTGTGTAAATTGTTTCATGAATGAAACCACACAAACACACCAACACGAAAAGGCAAGCTAAAGTTTGTTGCAGTAGAAATTCTAAAAATCCTTAATAGCAAAAGCCACCAGCTGACAACCTGAACTATGTGGCAGAGTTTCATAAAATAATACCTATAAGCTTTGGAGAAGCTATATCAAATTACACATTTCACTTAACCACAACCTTCCTCAGTTCTTCATAAGCATCGGGAAAAAAAACAGACCAAGAAACAACTAAATGTTGCTTCCAATTAACAGCACTATACTACATATGGTCTGAATATATAAACAAAACAGTCAGGCCAAAAACAGGTGGCACGGGGTATGGACGCCATTTATCACTTCCTCATGTGTGAGACATTTTGTAAATGTTGTAAGATTTTCACTGATAACATTTCCACAAACTTACCAGGACACTGCTGGCAGACAGACCATTAACCTGTAATACAAACACAACATTTAGTTACTAATAACTTAATACAAGCATTGTTCATCCGCCATCAATTATAACAGGAAGAGTAGCATCTCTACCTGTAGAGCAGGTTCCTTTACAATCACAACAGGACCACTACCTTCCACACCTGTACTACAGGACCACTACCTTCCATACCTGTACTACAGGACCACTACCTTCCATACCGGTACAACAAGACCACTACCTTCCACACCTGTACTACAGGACCACTACCTTCCATACCTGTACAACAAGAACACTACCTTCCATACCTGTACTACAGGACTAACACCTTCCACACCTGTACTACAGGACCACTACCTTCCATACCTGTACTACAGGACCACTACCATCCATATCTGTACAACAAGACCACTACCTTCCACACCTGTACTACAGGACCACTACCTTCCATACCGGTACAACAAGACCACTACCTTCCACACCTGTACTACAGGACCACTACCTTCCATACCTGTACAACAAGAACACTACCTTCCATACCTGTACTACAGGACTAACACCTTCCACACCTGTACTACAGGACCACTACCTTCCATACCTGTACTACAGGACCACTACCATCCATATCTGTACAACAAGACCACTACCTTCCACACCTGTACTACAGGACCACTACCATCCATATCTGTACAACAAGACCACTACTTTCCATACCTGTACTACAGGGCCACTACCATCCATATCTGTACAACAAGACCACTACCTTCCACACCTGTACTACAGGACCACTACCATCCATATCTGTACAACAAGACCACTACCTTCCACACCTGTACTACAGGACCACTACCATCCATACCTGTACAACAAGACCACTACCTTCCATACCTGTACAACAGGACCACTACCTTCCATACCTGTACAACAAGACCACTACCTTCCATACCTGTACAGCAGATAATTTTACCATCACAACAGGAAAACTACCTTCCACACCTGGGCCTAGATTTTCAGAGCTCTCTTCGCGCTAAGATATTCGCAAGTTAATGCTAATGTATGGCACTTACGACTATCTTAGCGCTAAGAGAGCTTTGAAAATCTAGGCCCTATACACCAGGAACATCACGTTCCATACCTGTACAAGTTCAATGCTACCTTCCATACCTGTAAAACAGGAACACTATTTTCAATACCTGCACACTAGATTCTTTCCATACCTGTACAACAGAAACACTGCCTTCTATACCTGAATAGTATTCAGAACAGGGTTACTATCTTGCATACATGTACAAGCATACTAGATTCTCTTATTACAATAGTAAAATGCAACAGAAACTGGCAATGAATGATGAGCATCTTGACCTTTGGTAGACATGGAATGAAAATGTAATGCAGTACAAGTGGTAGAGATACATACAAGTATTAAGAGGTAAAATTACCTTCAACAGAAGGTTGCAAACACATGAAGATTTACCTTGATCTTAGACTTAAATCGTACACAAGATGCACTAAAACTCGGACCTTCCTTGACTTCTGGCATAATGCAACTTACATGTAATGTGAAAGGATTTGTAATGAAAGAAAATCGCCATTGCATTGAGCGTGTTTCACAAAAAAAGAAAACAATGGCACTTTCACCTTCGACTATTTTTACAAAACCTTTTCGAAAAAGGTCCCCATCCTAGAAAAGATATTTTCTTAGTTTAATGAGAAATACATCAATGCTTTTGAGAAAGTATAGCTTTTTCTATCTCGATTTTTGTTTCAAATTCCAAGCTGGAATGGTGTACCTTATTCCATTCTGGACACAAATAAAAAAATTAACATTTTTGGAAACTAACCATAATCTTCATGCAGTCTCCAGTGCGAACACATATTTAATTAGTTTAAACAAGCTACTTTCACCCTGGCATTAATTTTAAAAAGTTAAACAACCCTCTCTTACTACATTTCCCAAGATTAAACTCCCCTCATATTCATAACATTAAGTTCATCCTCAACAATACAGCAATAGTAAATGTTTGAGTCCTTTAGTTTTGCTCATGTTCCAGGAATGGTTCTGAATTTTTATGACTTATTAAAATACATGACTAATTATTACACACACACAGCTTGTGTGTTGAAACCATATAAACTACAGTAGTGTTACAGCATCCAGAGCTACAGATAACTTTTTGGGTCACTGAGTTATGTACTTGCTTGTGTTCATCGCAACTGGGTATCCTAATTTTCCTTCGAGTAACCAAATAAATTATACCCACCTCACTCAAACTCATTTCTGTATTTTGCCATTTTCCATTAATTATAAAAATATCATAAAGTTTACATGTTGGTTTATGTGTCTGTTATTTATATTTGACCTGTAATATGAGAAACGATAAGAAAGACTGCGAGTTGCCAAGTTCATGTGTTGAAATCGAACCCCCCCAATATAGCTCAGTTCTTTTATCTATATTGTGTGTACACCTGTAAGATCAATTTTATTTAGTTTTTACCAAAATTCAAACATACTTGTACGCAACAGACTAATAGGAATTGAGTTTTTACATAAATATTTGCATAATTTACAAATATATGCAGTTTATCTGTACCTCTGAGCATCACACATTAACTGGATAATTTTTATACTAGACAGTTACTGTTGACTCAAGTGTGAGTTGGGTGAGTGAGTTAAGATTTAAAGTCACATCGGCAGTATTTCAGCCATATCATGACTAAAGCAAGTTATAAATATATCAACAATTTAAGTGAAATTATAAAATTCTGCCAACGAAGGACAGTAAAATAACTAATAATCACAGATATATATGTAAAACTAGTAATTGAATCTAAAACATTTTAACTATAGGGGACAACACAATATAAAAATGGGCTATAGATCGCCACCAACTGAAGGTAGATCACCATGCTAGGAGCCATGGGGACTTACATTACTTTTGCTACCTGCATGGATCCTAGCTGGATTTACACCATCCCTTCAGCCGCTGGCGATTGTAGGAAAATTTAGCCAACAGTTAAAATAACAAAAATACTACGTTTAAAATGTGATAATTTATATTTTACTTTGAAAATTTTGGGACTTATGTACCCTCTCAGGAGGACAATAATTTTACGCTACGTCAACCCCCTTTGAGGGTACAGCCACTTGACTCAAGTGAACAGTTTATGTTTTAGCATGATCTATTGATACTTACATCATAAAAATCTGAGCTGTCTTTTAGCTTAAATCCACAAAAGTAATACAATTTTTTCCAAAATGATTGGTGAATTACAATGTTTTATTTTACTGTAACTTTCTATTTTTGGTGTTCATTCTAATCCTCCTCACTCAAAACTACTGAGGATTTCTGCCACATGGATTTCTGGTGACAATGACAAAATATTGAGATAAGGTCCCTGATTGGCTTATGGTTTCCATATCTCTTTTCCAAACCAATCAATCATGACATTACAGACAAGAGAGGGCAGCTTTTGGGGCATGAAGCTGGCATGTTTTGGGACAAAACACAACTATGAGTCAGGTGTGAACTCCACATTATTCAAATTTAAATTGAATGTTAAAAATATCTAAGGGGCATGTGTAGGGTTTTGCTTTGGCATGCCAGTGTTTTTCATAGCATATCTTAGCATGAGAGATGGTCAAAAGCAAACACTGACTGTACTGCATCACACACAACTCCAGATTGACAAGGGATGTCACCATATGGGTTAATGCCCATGACAAGCCCACATCCCTCCATTTCACAATACAATGGAATCCCTATCCTTAAGTTTCAGAAACCTAACCCATAGGCTCCAATTGTAATGGGTCAAATGCAATAATGATTAAAATTAGTCTGAAACTGATATAAAGACACAAAGACTACTGACAAATATGCTGATGACACATCATTAAGGACAACCACACAAAGCTGCAACGTTTTACTCACATGTTTACATCATCATCTTTGGTAAAAAAATTTAGTATGACAAGTCACTAATGCTCTATTTGTTCTTCAGAAACTTACTTAAGCTTCCTAAAGCATGTTCTGTCATGCTAATACAGAGGGAATCCAGTCGGGCGTTGATCTCGGTGTCGGTGCTACCATCATCATTTACTGAAATACACAACAGTAAAGCTCAGGCGAATTCACAAACAACATATCTTAACAAGGTTATGCAGGAGGAATTCATGATTAATTCATGATTACCTATTGCCAAAACACTGCTTGGTGCCATCAGATCTCATTGCTGATAGTTGTTAGATACTGACAGGGATGACAGGGTTGGACGATGCTCAAACATTGACAGATTTTATTGGTCTAAATGAGATAATACACTCAGAAAGTGTGTCAGCTTTTCATGAAACCTCACAAGTTTCTCTGTTTTTAATTTTAAGTGTAGCACAACAAGACCCTCAACAATTTACAAACACAGTACTCATGCTTACAACTTGAACTAATTACATAAACTGTTAGCACACATTTTAAGGGACTAGTAAGTGAGTGAGTGAGTATGGCTTTACACCGTATTTAGCAATATTCCAGCAATATCACGGCAGGGGACACCAGAAATGGGCTTCATATACTGTACCCATGGGGAATGGAACCCGGGTCTTCGGCGTGACGAGTGAACGCTTTAACAACTAGGCTACCCCACCGCCCCTTAAGGGACTAAAGTTACTAGGCAATAAAAGTGGTCCAAACTGTATCTCAAACTGCACCCCAACAGTGCTCCATGCAGACACGGCATGGCTCGACTGAAGGAAATAAAACCTCATTGCATTTGGTGAACCAAACATCAACTGGTTGCATCTGCTGCTCAATCTAACATTATATGCAATGAATTTTTGCATTGATGATTTAGAAAATCATTCCAAACAAATTATTCCAAGTTTTATGTTATATTTTACTTCACAGAATTTCATAGTTTGAACAGTAACAGTCATTCAATCACTGCCCGTGTAGTCATCAGAGTCACTGCCCGTGTAGTCATCAGAGTCACTGCCCGTGTAGTCATCAGAGTCACTGCCCCAAGCCAGTTCCTCATCACACTATTTTCCAGCTGTTTTTCAGGTTGCACTAGTGCAAATTCTAGATACTTAAATTGAGCACTGCATTGTGTCAACGTAAGAGGTTAATGCCGTCTCTTCTGCTACATGTGGCATTGCTATTACATCTTTCATTGAGAGGTAGTGTGCGTGTGCATATGCATGTGCATGTATGTGCATGTGCATATGCGTGTGTGTGTGCTACAGTTAAACATGGAAAACCCACTCTGACATTGTATACTGTGAGCTGACCACTCACACAATTTGTTAAGTTGTGCTTTGATGTCTGTTTACAAAATGCTTTATCTAACAAGGTGCAGAAAAGGAAAAGTGATCTTACCAGGCACTGATAGTGAGAGTTGTCCTGATCTGATTGGAGCGGAGTTGGTTCTGATCACCTGCTGTTTACCCTAAAAATACAAAAACCATCACATTCATCCCACATCTAATTGCACTTAAATTTTGTTTACATGTTAGAGGAAACACTGAGCTTTGTTATTGGTTGAAACTACTTTTGAAGTTGAAATTATTATTGCTGTAATTCTAAAACAAACTAAAATATGTCTGCTTTAATTTACAAATGGAGTTTTTCTGCTGATCATGAAATCATAAACCAACCAAAAGTCACCACTTAGCTGATCTATGTAGCATGTGTCAGAAAGAAATATACTAAGCAGCAAAAGAAAAGTCAGTTTGGAATTTTCCTTCACAGAAATAGATAACTGTAAACTCATTTAATGTTTTGATTGTATATTTTTGACAACATCTCCAACTTTACCTGAGCAAAGATATTCCTTCCCAAACTCAGAATGGAACCCAAGAAATGGTCACAAAAACGCAACCTGATCTCGGAGATGGTACAGTGTTCTCTGTTTGTCATGCAACTCATGCTGCACATGCTGTTCACAAGGACCAGCCCTATAAAATGCCCCCCAAAACATGGATGAAACATTCACATTACAACGTCAGCAGGATGCCGCAACTCACGACAGCTCAGAGGAACCAGGCACTAGGAAGCCTTGAAGCTGGCCACACTGCACATGCCGTTGCTAATCACTTCCAGGTCAACGTTTGGACCATCTACAGGCTGCAGCAACGTTTCCAGGCCAACAACACCAAAAATGATCGCCCCCGTACTAGCAGACAAGGGGTGACCACAAGACAAGACCGCCATGCTGTGCGACAGCATGTCCAGAATCCCTTCATGCAGGCATCCGAAACAGCACGCCAGACAGTGGGAACACACGGAAGACCAATCAGTACTGATACAGTACGCCGACGTCTTAACAGAGGGAACCTCCTTTGCCGTAGACCTTACTATGGACCTATCCTCACCCCTCTTCATAGACGTGAACTGTTCTGTTCACTGATGAGAGTCAGTACTGCGTATCAACTGCAGATGGCAGAACAACACTATGGCGACGACATGGCCAGCGTTACTCGGAACAATGTGTTATGGAAAGAGACTCATGGGGAGGTGCAAGCATCATGGTATGGAGTGGAATAGGCATGAACCTCTGTGGTGTTCCAGAACCTTGGTCCAGGGAGAGCAGGCAGCATCACAGCGGTGCGCTACATCGACCAAGCTCTCAGTCCCCACGTCATACCACATTTCGCACGTCACCGGAACAACATTTTCCAGCATGATAACGCCCGGGCCCATACTGCCAGAGCTACACGGGACTTCCTACAGCAGAACGGTGTCAACATTATGCAGTGGCCAGCCCTTAGTCCTGATTTAAACCCAATTGAGCATCTTTGGGATGAAATTCAGAGGAGACTGAATAATGTCATACCAAGGCTGAACACAGCCGATTTATTGCGCCAAGCCTTTCTAAGAGTGTGGTTCCAGGTGCCAATGGCCTTCATCAATCGATTGGTGCACTCCATGCATAGACGATGTGCTGCAGTTATTGCTCATGGTGGTCACACTAGATACTGAAGTCAAGAGTCTGAATGGACTGCAAGTGTTCTTGGAATTGTGCTGAGTTATTCATTGATGTGTCAAGATATTGTACACAAAAAATGTTTTTGATCCGCTTATTATGTCCATTTCTGTAATGACTTGATTACAGTGCCTATCTAATTTTGAATTCGTACTGATGTTTTTTTTGCTGCTGAGTATATTTAAGAGTTTGGGAGGTTCTGCTCAAGAAACAGCACACAGACGGCCGGCTAAGTATGCTCACAATTTGACCCCATTGATAAGCCCTAAGATGATAACCATTTAAGGCTTTCCATGGTCTTGCTATTTAGACTTCTAAACCTGTTACCAATTGAGTCGATGCTTAAGTGAGTTCCTTACCATTACAGGGTAAAAAAATGTAAATTTTATGATAAAATTAATATTTTATACTTATCCTGACTCGTGCTTATTGCTTATCTCCCTCCTCCTTTCGATAGTTAAGTGGAAACTTGAATCCCTTTCAATTGCCTGAAGTGATCGTAATATCACTCACCCACCAGTAGCCCCCTTTTCCCAACAAAACAATCCCATGTGACCTGAGCCTAGCTCTCATCACTCTCTCCGAAATAAGCCCACATTACAACTCACAGTGAAGCCCATAAGGCTGAGAGGAGACGGTTGGGAGGGCTTCAGATTAAAATATCAATTTTATCATAAAACTTACATATTTTTCCTTATCCTGACTCATGCTTATTGCTTACTAAATCCGATGGAATAGGTGGTGGGTCAGCCACCTAACCGGACTCACTGGGGCTGTCAATCAAACAGTCTGATTGCATACCCCTTGGGAACTCTTCTTGCGGCTTCCTAGTTGTCTAAATGTCGTACTTGGGGGAACACCTTCTCTCAACTCATTAAAAGAAGTAAATCTTATAGATTTTTGATAATCTAGTACTCTTCCATGTCTAGTTATCATAGAACGATCCATATGTAAAGGTAAGGACTATTACCAAAACTGAATCGCAACCCATAAGTTAAGTAAGGACTATTACTCATCTGGGTTTATATCACTCATGTGCTGACTTATCAAGTAAGACAGGGAAACATGGACTCCCTGCTGGTGGCAATGGGTCAGTTGCCTAGCGTCAACGAGTCAGCATGATCAGGGTGAGTTTCTCAATGTCTGGCTGGAATCGTGAGTTGTTGTGCCAAGTGGACCTAACTGGTGAACGCCTGATACATCCTCTGTAGCAATGTCTCGTAGATAGTGGTTAGCAAACGCTGTGTCGGATTTCCAAAAACAGCCTTCCATGATGGATGATAATGAGCAATTCCCATGTAGTGCAAGTGTCGACGCTAATGCTCTACCTTCATGTGGGTTAGATGCTCTAGATGGAGCCAGTCCTGCTGCTTTCTAAGCTCGTAGAATGACCACTCTGATCCAGAATGAGATTGTGGTTTGCGAGACTCCAGTAGTCATGGCAGGCGATAGTGAAATGAAGAGATGTTTAAACTTTCTCCTTCTTTTAGCAGTCCGTTCTAACTACATTTTCAAAGCTTTGACTGGGCATAGGGACAAGTCCTCTGTGTCTCGTTGTCTGAGGACTGATGACAATGCTGGTACACGGAATTGACGATCTGGTTGCCCAGGTAGTTGATTCTTAGCTATTAAGTCCCATCTTAGTCCTCTTGTGTCGAATTTTTATTGTTTAAAGTCAAGAGCATGCATTTCTGAAATCCTTGGTGCTGTAGCTAAGGCGAGGAGAAATATCGTTTTCTGAGTTAGCAACTCAAACGTTGAGTCTGTTAAAGGTTTGTAGTCATCGCTGGTGAGATGTTGCAGCACTGTGTTGAGATACCAGACTGGGGCTCTAAATTTCTGCTGTTGATCCTCTAGTTTAAATGATCTCTGTAGAGCGACGAGTTCAAGTACTTTGGTGAGTTTAACACCCGTGTTCATCATGATAACCGAGCTGATTGCCGCCAAATAGGTTGAAAGTGTAAATCCTTTCAAGTGTCTAGTCAATCTCAGATGACATAGATATTCTGCTACTTGAGGATGTGTAGCTTTTGCAGCCGAGAATCCTTTGCGTGTAGCAAACTGATGGAAGCTTTTCCATTTATCATCATAGAGGTTGTGAAGCGTGTCGCAAACAGATCTATGAGAGGACGACCTTGACTTCTCGTTATCAGTTGAAATGCTTCCGGATATAACATCCATTCCGTAGGAGATGGTTGGACTGGTCTGGACAAGACGTCAGTTGCAGTCGGGTTGCTGATCTTGTTGAGCCTTGTAGGTTTATGTAAAACGCTACTGTCAAGTTGTCTGTGTGGATCATGAGAACTTCAGTTCTCAATACATGCGCCCAATGTTGAATTGCCTCGATGACTGCCTTGAATTCTAGTTGATTTACGTGCAGACTCTTTTCGTTTTCGGAGACCCAACAGTTTCTGCCATTCCCTTATCGGTAGAGGTTTGTTCAAAGCGGTGAGAAGACAAGTCTGTATGTTTGCCCACCGTTCCTCTGGAACTACGATGCAGTTCTCTGTGGTGAGAAACTTGATTCTGAGGAATTGTAGTTTCTGCAATGGTTGTAGTTCCGATTTCACCCGATTGACTAATCATCCTAGTTGTGTTAGTAATTGGATTGTAAAATCTAGCTGATGTCTGAGTTGCTCTGCTAGTTGATGTGCCTTTATGTCGTTGTCCAGGTTGAAGGCACAGTGGAATCCTCTCTGATGTAAAAATGCCACTATGGGTTTTGTCACACGTGTAAATAGCCACGGGGCCAAGGAAATTCCAAAGGGGAGGACCTTGTTGTCCTTGGTATAGGAATCTTAGATATTTCCTCGAGTCCGGATGTATGGGGATGTGCAGATAGGTTTCTTGAAGATATATGCTGGCTTGATAATGGTTGGGTCTGATTACACGTCGCAACTGTGCTAGATGGAGCATCTTGAATTTAACTGGTTTTAGAAGAAAGTCTAGGTTGAAACGCTTCATGTCGTAAATGAGGAGGAACTTCTCTTTGGAGTTCTTTTTCAGTACTAGGAAAATTAAAGAGTAGAATGCTGGTGTAAGACTGCGCTGATCTAGAATCTCTAAGGCGTTCTTTACAAGTAGTGATTAAATGGCTTCTGTCAGTTTGATGCGATGAAGCTCTGGGTAATGATGCACCTGTGGTGTGACGGTGAGAGGTGGTGTCGCCTTGAGCTGAATCTCGTAGCCTTCATGTAACACTTGTAGAACATAGTCGTCTTGTAGGATTCTCCAATTTTCCCAGTAGTCACCTAGACATCTCCCTCCTGTTGATGGTTCTACCGGAATGACTGGGGAGGGACGACCCAGTCAGTCTGAACCTGATTTTCACTCACGAGAGGAGTGGGAGCCTCCTGATGAGTGGACTCTCCCGGAAGGTCCTCTTCAGTTGTCGTATGGTCGATGAAAATTCCCTGATTTGCCTCCTCGAAAGCCTGAAGCCTTTTTATCCTTGGCCTTCTGTATGCCTGGTCGAGCGGAATTGTCCTCGACTTGACGATTGCTGATACATACTATTCATCGTCTGCATGGATCTGATAAGCATCTGATCTCTGGAGTCCGTGCATACTTCTCGAGATGCTGTCTTATGTCGCTGTCAAATAGTGTAGATGCTGTCCAAGGTTGACATAATAGGGTCTTAACATGGCAGTGTGGCCAGTTGCAAGATGTGAGGAGTCCTTGTCGATGAAGTAAGGTCAAGCCTGCTGATGTAGACGACAGGTGATCAGACATAAATTCCTGATCTTTCTTTTGTGTGACGAGTGCTGATAATATCATTTTCTCTGTCCCTGTTCTGGGGGTTCTGAAAGTTGTTGATTAAAGCTTCGGTGATAGCTCAAGATCTAGCTAGTCCAAAGAATGTACATCTAGTAGTAGTGTCTAGGTTACCCAACTTCCTATCTTCCACTTTGTAGCTATGATGCTTGGAGTTGCTGATGATATGGAAGTTGTCCTCAATCTCTGCCTCTCTGAAGAACGGTTCCATACTCTGTAGAGGAAAATTCCTTACATTAAACACCGGTGTATGTTGACCTTAGTGTCTAGTAGCATTCGCGAATGCTGACTTGAGGTTCGACGAAAGCTGACATATCGGCTTTATGGGTGGGATCGTCCGTCTCTCTAAGTCTTCATCCACTATGCGATATGTCTCGGTCAAGTTTGAGTTATGAGTTGGCAAAGATATCAGTATGCCATCCGGGATCCAAGACAAAATTCAGAGTCTGGGTAGATAGTTGAATTATCTAGTTTGTGGACGCTCGTATCTGAAGCCGGTGCTTCATCATGTACGGAATCGCTGATAGATGCCGTAGGAGTAGACTGAGTAATCGACTGTCGATTCTCTGCTGAATGTTATTACTGCATAGCTAAGACTACTTGTCGTGCGACACTAGCCACAAGATCCTTTTCCACAGATGGGTTCGTCAAATTTGATGGGTTTGCACAAGACTGCAATGTAGTCGACTTCACTGTTCACGTCGATGAGAGGACAATCTCCAACTATGAGAGTTTGCGAACTCTTCTCCAGATGCTAATTCTCTCTGCACGACTAGTAGAGACAGTAGATTGGTTTGCGGACCCTTTCGCTAACTGTGTGGCCACAACAGTGGAGCTAGTAGACTGCGGCAAAGTGTGCCGATTGTCACTAGAAAGGTTCTTGGACCCTGACGTCGAACACGAAGATCTGCGATGAGACGAATGTTTTCTTTTAGATGACGACATCTTGGACGAATGCTTCTGCAAACTAGCATTCACTTACCCTGTAGGGGTGCTAGTAGACATGTTCTGTGAAGTCGTCAAGATGATCTGCGTACATCTGTTAAGGCGCTCTCGAATGATGTAAGTGCAATCATAGACCTCTCTGATCTAGTAGAATGTATAGATGACGTAGATCTTGCAACTGACGAATTCTTAGACAATCTAGATGCCCTCTTTTTCTTCACCAAACAGTGTAGTTCAGTCTCTTCTTTGTGGGGCGACTTCCTCTTAGAAGTAGATTAAGTCGTTGTCTCCTTTAGAGCGACAGAGACGGGAGAAAAACCAGAGGAATTCTCCATAGTGATCTGTGACAACTCACACTCCGTTGCCTGAGAATCACCCCTCACAGCCGCTACCTTGCTGATACGCTTTTGTTTAGCAAGACCTTGTGTAAATGTGTTAACAAATATTTATTAAATAAGGTGGTTGATAAATGTGCACAATATTCACAACGTGAGACTAAGGAGCACGAATAATGACAGCAAGAAGGGCAGATAGGGTGAAGATCAGCTGCAGAAAACCTAATCTGCACTGTTGACATGCCACCATTGGTAAACAAACACCTGTAACGGAGTTAAAGAATACAAATTTACATAATAAAATACATCATGATGAATCTAAAAAGTATCTAAATGCAATTCACAGCGACAAATTTAGACAAAAAGGCTGAAAAACAAAGGATATATGCCGCAAAAGGGACCCACATGACCGCCAAACTGTCTGCTTGGGCCATGAAGGAGAGAGTGATGTGAGCTAGGCTTAGGTCACGTGGGACTGTTTTGGCAGGAAAAGGGAGGCTACTCGTGGGTGAGTGATATTACGATCGCTTCAGGGAATTGATAGGGATTCAAGTTTCCACTTAACCATCGAAAGGAGAAGGGAGATAAGCAATAAGCACGAGTCAGGATAAGGAAAAATAAAACCTTTTGGAATGATCACTTCAACACAAGGCTTTCAAACATAGGCTGGTATTTTCAAACTAACAATCCTCAGGCAATATAAGAAAGATTAAATATCACTTGAGTTTTTGTGAATGATTTGGGACAGTGACCAGCTTACAGGTTGGCAGAAAGTAAAACATTGTAGTGAAATAGTGTAAAGCTTTTGTTATAAATCTAACTGTATCCGAACACAGGAAAATATGTTCATAATTATTATTATGCACATGTCTTTCCGAGTGTCTTCTTATGTTGACTACAATATAATCAACATTGTGGTCTAACTACTAAAGATAAGACTTGCTGTCTGATGGAATGTCATGCAGAGATGATCATGTATAAAATAGTGGTGTATACATGCCTCTAGCAGCCCAGGCTTGTTGAGAAATGTTGTGTTGAGGGAGTTGTTCTTCTGTAGGGGTACATGTCCAGCAGGCTGGGCTCCTACAACAGACCGCTTGGAACCGAAACTCCACTGCTGTATGCCATGTTTAGGGGGGATCCTAATTTGTTTGGTGCTGATACGATTGTTAAAAGAGGTTCCAATAAGTGGGAAGGTATTACCCCATCTGCAAGATACAACAATTGAAATTCAGTTTCAAACAGAGTCTGTCATACTGGACATAACATTACAAAAGTGGTATTTCTCAGGCCATAGTTTACAGCTCACCTGATCAAATATCTTTGCAATAGTAATCAAGAAAATCATTAATTTCAGGGGAAAAAAACATGATCCCTGGACAAAAAAAGAATTGGCCTCCAACTGCAGTCCTTCCTATTTAACACATTGCATGATGATCCAAACACCGTCTCAGACAGGTACTGACAACTGAGCAGCATCTTACACTTTTCGGGGTTTGTCAGTGCCATATTTGTAAGGAGGTGGCTGCCAAATCTTATGTGCCTGTTGTTTCCATGTGGCAAGGAGGTTCTTCTGCTTTTGTGTGAATGCCTGCAAGTAGAACAGAATATTAGACTACAAAATGGCCTATTTTCCTTCAACCAATGTACACTACTTCAATTGGCCTGGGCTATCACAAACACAATTGGCTTTCTTTATTTACACGTGTCAAGATACAAGGGAACACAAAGTTATCAAGCAGAACTGTTTCCAGGTTTTGACTTATTGTCAGTTTCTGAGGTAAGAGCCGAGACACTGTTGCTGATCAACAGGCAGTGTTCAAATGTAGTTTAACTCTTTCAATACCAGTCAACCAGAGGCATTTACTGCCATGACACCGAGTTCCCAGATACTCTGAGATCATAGATGAAGCTTATGTTTATGAAGGAAATTATAAGCTTGTAAAACGTTATTGCTACTACATCCCATACACCATTTAAAAGATCTAATCCTACTGTTGATAAATATGAAGTTTATTTTTATAATATTATTCAAATAATACAACCACAACTTAAATAAATTTATTTTTTAATGAAAATGCAAGTTTACATTTATAATGTCCAGATAAGCCACGAAAGAAGCAAAAACTATGGCGATTTTTTTCCATTTGTGACATGTCATAACATGCCCGTGCCTTTTTCTTTCATATTTTCATTTTTACGTAATCAGAAAATCGCTAATTTCTCGATATCAGTGGCTTTCCGCTCAGTAACAGGACACAACAACGGAAAATACCTCGGTTTTCGAAGCTTCGTATGAATAACACTGTACCCTTGCCAAGAGTATTTTCACAGTTGTAAGAAGCGATTTTATTGGATAAAGATTGGTTTCTAATGACGCTTTTTCGCCACAGTCTGCTATAAGGGTCGTGATTGGTCAAAAACAGACACGTGACCTAAGGCAGCCAATCATATTACGGCAATGGATACCGTCGGCGTAAACGAAAACTTTTAGATTTAGACGAAAGTTTTGGGTAACATAATGCTATTCTGAACATATTAAGCAAGAAATCGCTACATATATGTAAATTATGGGACGTATCGTGCTAGGTTATGACCTGTGACAAAAATGCTTCATGCATATATTTTCGCATTAAACATCGTGTCCGAGCGTGAAGATTGAGGCATCGAGAGCCGAGATGTCACTTGTCAGTGACTTGACTTGCATTACATGATCGCACAAAAAGATGGAAATAGTAATTTTATATGTACGTTTGACAACTTTTATGAATGCTGTTGTTGATTTTATTCATTAGTTTGTTCAATTTATTTAATAATTTCCTCGAAACATCGTTACTTGGCTCTTTTACAATGTTACTGTGGACCCGCTGCCGAAGCATGTGTCCGAGAATTGTTGTTTTCAATAACTTTGCGAAAAATAGTTTATAATTTTAATTCTGCCGATAATATATGATCAATTGAAATTTAATAAGTGTTTTCAGACATTGTGAAATGTGATGGATTTAATATATGAATCATAAGTCAGGTAAGTTCCTAAAATTATGTCTCATTTTGACGTGACTACTGCCTGGCCGCTTAAGCGGCCTCCGGTGTCTGGGGACTCATAACGTTGTGGCCGCTTAAGCGGCCTGCGGTGTTGAATGGGTTAACCTTAAAGGTCACATAAACCCTAGGGGGTACAAATACATAAATCACTAACTGGCATCGTTATAAATGAAACCCCATCACTAAAACTACTCATTTCGACCTTTAATTGACTTAAATCGACCTTTTTGACAACAGTGCACAATTCTCACCCGCGAACGAAATTTCAACCAATCAGAGCGGCGCGTCTCTGTGACGTCATATGAGGAATAGCTTTGAGGGCCGATGCAGAATTCATCTACATTTTAGGGGTTAAATTATCTTGTTTACAGGCTTGTATAAACCTGAAATCGTGACAATTGTTGTGGAAAATGAAAGCTATATGTTCTCACAATCTACTGTCATTTAATTTTGTCTCCTGCTTTGCCTAGTTTCCGAAGTTACAACTTGTTTTCATAGACGATTCTGTCAAAATCGCTTGGTGTCGTTAGGCCTTATTTGTATAATGACTGATCTAAATTGATCCCATTTCTGTGTTTTTTTACCTCGATATTTAATCATGTCATGTAAAAATCTGTTTGTATTCTCAAAACAGTGTCGGCCCATAAGTTTTCACATGCAATACAGCAATTAATACTCCCTTGTTGTAACCCGTGTTAGGTGGTATAAACCTACACATGTTATTTGTCATCATTCACTTGATGGTCAGGTAATGAATTTATAACAGGTATAATTAGTGGTAACACACTTAGATTACCCGACAAAGGTTCCCATTTGGCATTTCTTGTGTCTGGAGTAAATATTCAACATTATAAACATCGATCAAAGGATTAACCGATAACACGCTGATTGATTAATTACTTTTATCTTACACAGCGGAATTGTCAAAAGGTAGTGTTAATGTATGTAGATTTACTAATCTATACTGAATACACTCTGTCGTGGTCGGTGTTCGCGTAAAAACAACGCGTGCTCGTTCAAAGGATTAACCGGCAATACATTGATTGATTGCCCATTATTGGCTAAAAATTACTGTTTTTAAAGAAAGGCGGACATTATGCAATTAGTTGCCAGGTGTGCTATCTTGGGTGACCAATGAGACTATACACCAATACCTGAAAAGACTGATCACTTTTTTCGTATATTAAACTGTTAAAAGACACATCATTTGGAACAGTTTTGTGGATATTGATGGATACATTCCTCGAACAAGGTAATGGCCTGATATTGTTCCTATAACTTTAATCTGTTTTAATTTTAATATTTGCATTTTGTTTTTATTCATTTGTCGTAGCATTCAACAGAATCATTGTTTTCGCCGTGAAGTGTAATGAGACAGACAACATACACTAGGGTGTGTGTGCGCGGATTATGATTCACATTGGCAAACTATAAAATGTCTAGCTATTACAGTTCTGTTATAAATTCACTATAAGTATCAGCAGATCGCCTGCTTTTATTTAGTTTCAAAATGCATACAAGTATGATCACAAACTAATTAGGATTATAAGACCAAATATAAAGACGCACATTGACTAGTATCTACATACTGGTGAGTGGACATTAACCATGTGAATGTAGCAAGAAATTTATCGCGCAGTATTGTAACTTCGACCCCCACCTCGCCTTCCGTGGAAGAAATCGTTATGTTATAAGTTGTGTCATGCAAAATCCGTTTGGTTATGATTCCAATACATATTTAACTACACGAGTAGAAAGTAGTTTTGATTTTCTAACTTGATGAAAACAAACTATAACCTCATTAATTCTAACAGAGTTTACGATTTTCAAAATGGCGGCGCCTGTCGGGAACATCCGCCAGTCTGAGGATAAATGCTATTTAGATTTGTTTTCACCGAAGTTACAAAATCAAAACTACTTTCTACTGGTAGTAAAATATTTATTTTATTGATGGCCAATAGGATTTTGCATGACATAAGCGTGATAACATAACAATTTCTCTCCTGGCAGCGAGGTGGGTGTCAATATAATACTACTTACAATATTATTGTTACTTCGACCACAACCTCACTTCGAGGAAGAAATCGTTATGTTACAAGTTGTGTCATGGAAAATCTTTATGGTCATCAATCATATATATTTTACTACAACTAGTAAGTAGTTTTGATTCTTTAACTTCCGTGAAGCGATCTGAACACTAGTAAGATATCGTTTCAGGCTTCCACAACGCCGCCGCGACTCACAAACATAACCCATTTAGCACGAACTGCGGGTCCTGTGGAAATCTGTGCATGGTGACACCATCGCCCGACCCCTAGGAGCAATTGACGACAAAGCAACGATTCGACATGTCGTCGTTGATGTCGAGAAATCATTAAAATGATGAGCATGCTACACATTTTCTATACAACTAACTGAAAATCGTTCCTCATATGACGTCACTGCAGTGCTCTGGCGACAGAGTTACGTAACCTGTCTGTGGTTTCGTTGGCGGGCGAGAGAGAAGCAGGCGACTTTTTGGCCACTTTTAATCGCTCGGTATTAATTAACCACAAATTTTTAAAGAATAAAGTTGGTGTTCCGCATAAGACTAACCACAGATCTTTCATATGTAATGGTTAAAAGAGTAACAAAAAACAAAGTTTAGTGGTTCTTTAAGTTGGATTTGGGGGACCTCCAGTTCTTTCTGCTTTAGCATAATTTGAAGCTAGGGAGTGTGTAAATCTTCAGTTCTTAACATTAGACATATATTACGACAAGAACCTCTTCATAGTGAGGAAGTTGTGACTGTTGGGTCTGTAATGCAGACATTTTTATGTGAGTACTGATTTCAATGGATGTAGTCTTTGAAATTTAAAGAATACTGAGAGTAAAAAAACATTCATGTAAAGTAACACAGTTTTTGAAGAAGCAATTTCTGAGACATTTGTTTTCATAGTATTTTCCAAAGTCACCAAATTTTTGTAGAAAACCTATTATCATTATCTTTCACAAAAGTGCAATCCTAAACAATGGATCATGAAAAGAAATGGAGAATTCTTCACAGTTAAATAACTATACAATTGCAGGTGTCATCATGAATGTACATACAAAGTTTCAGGATTAATGGTCCAGTGGACTCTGAAGAGACGACATACATGATGAACAAAGGAGCCATATTTAATTTCAGATTAACATGAGTTTATTCAATTTATTTAATAATTTCCTCGAAACATCGTTACTTGGCTCTTTTACAATGTTACTGTGGACCCGCTGTCGAAGCATGTGTCCGAGAATTGTTGTTTTCAATAACTTTGCGAAAAATAGTTTATAATTTTAATTCTGCCGATAATATATGATCAATTGAAATTTAATAAGTGTTTTCAGACATTGTGAAATGTGATGGATTTAATATATGAATCATAAGTCAGGTAAGTTCCTAAAATTATGTCTCATTTTGACGTGACTACTGCCTGGCCGCTTAAGCGGCCTCCGGTGTCTGGGGACTCATAACGTTGTAGAAAACCTATTATCATTATCTTTCACAAAAGTGCAATCCTAAACAATGGATCATGAAAAGAAATGGAGAATTCTTCACAGTTAAATAACTATACAATTGCAGGTGTCATCATGAATGTACATACAAAGTTTCAGGATTAATGGTCCAGTGGACTCTGAAGAGACGACATACATGATGAACAAAGGAGCCATATTTAATTTCAGATTAACATGATTCAAACAAACTTGAAACTACGAAGCATTACTATCTCTACCATCCAAGATTCAGACTTATCATGTTTTAAAGTTTTGAAGAAAATTTCTCTTGTATTTCATTTAAAAACCAAAGATGGCAACTTGCCATCTATATTGAAACTGCAGTTTTGAACAAACCCCTTTATAGCTAGAAACATCTACATTCAAATGAATCCTTTGAGTCATTTCATAGTAACAGTGAAAATTGTAAATATTTCATGAACTCTACCGATGGATCACTTCTGTCGACACTCACATAACCTTTGAGGATAGTTCAGGAACCTTTCAGTGATTCACCAGTTCATGCCTGTCAACAATTCATTGGAAACACATGCATCAGACAACTGTAGCTCACCTCATGATTGAGACACTTGTCTATGAGCTGTAGGTATGTTGTGAAGCAGTCATCATCAGGACGGCTGGCCACCAACAGCTGGGTGCACACTGAAATACATTCAACAGCTATATAAAACCTCCATGTCTTATTTCCAGTTTCTATCAAAATGTTTCATGCCTAAACTCACATACCGAACACATCCCAGATAAGAACCTGTGCGTCAAGTACACTGGCATGTAAACAGCTGCAATGCATAATAGATCAGTTATATAAACTACTTGTCAGCTTCATGCCAATCTCTGACAGATAAAAAAAAAATGGTGAAGGGCTGGAGGCAATTTTATAAAACCCATGAATATGCATTGACCACTGACAAACCAAATCACACTTAGTGTGAATGGGGAATGCAAAAACCAACAACTCTAGCTGTCGGGTACAGAAGCCTTTTTTTATGCCCTGTTCAAGGTCCTCCAATCATAAGGAAAATGACCAAGGGTCTACAGTTGGTACGTAGGCATGAACAGGCAAACACATGCCAAAAGCATGTGGTTGAAAAAGCCAACCGCAGCATGGCTCAAACAAAGTGAAGGGTCCAACAATAGTAGGGTTTGATTACACAGTATTCTTTGTGTGCTGACCTTTCCCCATGAGTCTTGTGAACTGGCCAGTAATGTCTCCTTCTGCAATCTTGTTGCCATCACTGTCACTGGGTGTGGTAGAAGGGGAAACAGGCGGAGATACTGCTGATAAGATGGCTGTAGCAGGTACATGGCCCTTGATTGGTGTGTTCAACATATTCCTCATCTCTGTAATGGCCTGCTTTATGGAACCCTTCTCCATTATGTCCTGAAAAGCAACATTACTCCATCTCTATATAAATGTGATGCACATGGACTGACTGTTGCCTTAACACAAACAAGGTCAATCAGTCTATATCTATCTCTGATATTTGGTTGAGTGAATGGAGTGCAAGTATTTTAGGTTGCTTGAAACAGTATTTCACTTCAACTGAGTTCAAGGTTTAACTGATAACTAACCACAGACTTATCCTCTTTTGCCATGAAAGATGTACAAGGGTGAGTGAAATATTATCTTTGAAACAGTCCCATGAAGTCACATGCTATGTACAGATTGACCAATAGAAACCAGCCAATAATGCTCACTACTGGCAAACAAGGATAAGTAGAGCACCGACCTGACAACTGGACCATATTAGCATGTATGAGTGCAGCCCACTAGCGCTTGCCACTAACGCTTCGTGAGCGAAGGGGCCCCAGGTTGTCCGCGATCAAGTGTAGTGCTACACCGACCACATGAGAGTCTTATGAGCAAGGCGTGTGCAGCTATGCGTGGAATCAATTATCATCGTCATGCACTGCCGCGTGCACTATCCTACATCTGCTCTACCTTTCACAGACCAAATGGGTTTGCTCATTGCCGTGCACCGCCTACTTCTTGTAAATGCGTTTTCTGCACCGGTCCAACTTATCCTTGTTTGCAAGAAGGAAGCTGTTGAAATTCCCATGGATGATTAATTTCAAAAACAAATATGAGCTAAAATCAAATTACAGTTCTGTGAAACACTTACTGGGGATGATTTGTTTTTTCATTATCAGTAACAGGTGCAAGCAGGTGAATTAATCAGGTTGCACTGTTAAATCATTGGCTTCACTATGTTATCAACAATGATGTCGCTGTCACTGAAAGTAGTCGGCACAATCAACTTCACCCTGATTACAAGTGACATTCTGATCAGTGATCTCTGACCTTCAATGAAATGTCACCAAATTGTATACATGGTGTGTAGTCTACACAACTTTTTGCATTTTTAACTTACGGCAATTGATTCACCTGATACACACATGGAGAAGTCTTATTTAATATGGTAAATTCCTATCAATACCATCTGCAACCATGCACTTGCGGTGGAAAATGTTACCTGTACTGTGTACAACCTAACACTATAAGTTACCTGCAATGGCCTGCACTGTGGGCAACCTGACAATATAAGTTACCTGCAATGGCCTGCACTGTGGGCAACCTGACAATATAAGTTACCTGCAATGGCCTGCACTGTGGGCAACCTGACAATATAAGTTACCTGCAATGGCCTGCACTGTGGGTAACCTAACGCTAAAAGTTACCTGCAATGGCCTGCACTGTGGGCAATCTGACAATATAAGTTACCCGCACTAGCAATATTTAACCTGCACTGGCGCAGGCTTGATGTAGCAAAATCAATCCCTAACATATCATACATAAAACAGACTAAACAATGCTGAAGTATGTGCACAGAAAGTACATACAACCTGCAAAATGAGGACAGAACTAAACCTGACAATGGTTGGAAAACACTAGCACTTCAAAAAGGAACAATTCATAAAACGTAAGGCCTAAAAAAAGGTTGAGGTTCCGATTACCCAACCGACCTTTGAATTCTAGTGCCGACCCTAGTTATTTTAGAGGTATGAATAAAATAAGCTTTCAGATACCATTGTTTTTTTCCAGGCACCAACGGACATTGGTCATTCTGATAAAGAAAGTCGACATGATGGCCGCAAGCTTGATTGAATAAACAATTATACATTGATAAATGTGTTACTAGTTCATAATTTACTTCTAAAAATAAATGTAAAAAAAAGAAAGAATTCCTACCTACCCTAAATTTTTAAGAGGTGTAATCGGAACCACAACATTTTGTTTGGCCTAAATAATTTCTCTAAAGTGAACAAGACTAATCAGTAGATGACAAAATCCCTCACAAATTTGAAAGAACAACCATTATCTGTCCCACAAGAGGTGATCTGTGGAATGTAAAGAGTGTACTCCCTTATCTGTTTATCCATACAGAAGAGCAATTATTGACAATATCATGGATATTTCAGAAGTTTGCATTTGTGTCACGCCCTTCTTCACAAAGATATGAATTAGTTGATGGCACACAATTGGTACAATACACTATAATCTGTTACATAAACACTGATAAGTACATGAATATAGACATAAATAATCAAGAAAATGTACAAAATTATTATGATAACATATATAGAAACAGCAGTTTAACATACAAATGACATTCTGTCAGGAATTAAATACACCAGTTTATTCCCACAGATTCCCCTAATGGGTACATATGTCATCCCATTTGTGGTTATTCCTTGCTAAGGTATTGCTAAAAGAGGCATACCGGTAACCACACTCACTCACTCACTCACTTTCTCTCATAACAGACAGCAGCAACACACAGGTATATACATCCTCAAGTTGGCCAGACTTTGTGATGGACCAGTTCTACTTGCACCACTTCTCATATCCTGAACCATTTACAGTATAGTCATCCCATGCAATAATTCCCCAGCGACCACAGATCTTCACGAAAACACATACCAATAATACAACAATCTTCCAAGATCCTAGATTTCTTTTGATTGGGTCAAATTTAGTCCTATATTCATTCATTAATAACTTTTTACAGTAACATTGGTGAAAATATGTGTGAAATGGCATGCTTTTTTCACCTCATTCTATACGTGTACAACTTCCGTTTACTCTGTTCATGAGGCTCCGCTTTTCCCAACACACTGTCATAGCACCAATTTTACATTATTCTTAGCAATCATGATCTGATTACCACCTGGTTTATGGACTGCATATAAAACTGACATAACTACAATTAAATTACCATGTCTAGTGATGTTTGATTGCAAGTTTCCTATTTTCATTACAAAGTTTGTTTACCTCCAACAATACAACATAGTTTTGACTGGACACAATACATGAAATGCTATGCACAGGGAAAATATGAATTTACTTAACCTTTACTCCATGTTATGTATAACGAGGGTGTCACATAACGCAGTGGGGGGTCGTTATGGCGAGGGATGACTGTATATGACTCACTCACAAGCTGACTATTTAAATATCATCTGCACCTAAATACTGATTACATTGCACGTACCAGTGAATCGTCACAACCCCACTGATATCAGTACAAGTTAATCCATCAAGCAAACATCAGATCTGGCCCCACTTGTACAAAACGATCTTAGCGTTATGGGTATCTTAAGTATGTGTTAGAGTATGAGAGTCACAATCATCATACCGCAAAGATTGCTTTGTACAAGTGGGCCCTGGTCTGGAATCATTATGGGCACCCTCTGGTGAGGTGAGGTGAATTGGGTTTAACGTCGTGCTTGAGAATATTTTGCTCATATGACGACGTGCATGCGTGTATATGTGTATGTGCGGCTGCTTGTACTAGCCAAGACTGAAGCTGGTTTTATAGTGCTAGCCCACTGAGATACCATGCCGCAGTGAAGCATGAATACCCCACTCAGACACATTATACTGACTCCGAGCCAACCAGTCCTTGTTGTACCCATTAATGCCGAGCAAAAGGCAGGGACCAACAAGTACCATATTTTAACGTCTTTTGGTATGACGCGGCCGGGGATCAAACCTGCGACCTTCCGCTCTCTGGGCGGACGCTCTAACCACTACACCATGGAGGCGGTCAGCACCCTCTGGTATCTACCTTTTCCAGTGTCCGTAACAGATCCTGCCTCTCTCTCAGCTTGGCAATGCTCAGGATGATCTTATGACGGGCACCTTTTGTCACATTCTGTAGATACAGGCAATATGTAATTAAACTTTGTGCAAAAATATGGATTTTATCAATATAAACCCATTAAAAAACTAAACAATACCATTAATTGTATAATTACTAGACCGAATAGAATGTTACAACACTTGGGCTTCCAACAAGTAGTTAAACTTAGGGGATCCCACAGATAAAAATTGTATGTTAACTGGGGCAAATATCACTTCAAGCTAATCAGTTTATTGATGATATCATTCAAATATGATTGTGACATGAGGCTGGAATGACTTAACTCTTGTAACAATGTCACAGCTCATCTCACAACTGTGGTTATCAAATATGGCGCTCATAATTAGAGCATATTTCTGAAGGGTACCATAAAGGATTAAGAAATGAAAGTTAATCTAAGAATTATTAGATTTGAATGAGTGTCCTCATTTTACATAACTCGTGAAATACATCGCTCTGACTCAGGAAATACAAGCATTGTATTGTTTCATAAATCAGTATGACATAAAAGCATGTGTAATAATCTCTAATTATACCATGTCTGAAGAGCATCAACACGTATGAGCATAAAAACCTGGACATTCTGATTATTCCTGATCTTGGAAGTTTTAATGAAATCTGTTTCTGACCTGGGTAGGTCTCGATAAATCCTGTGTTGGCAAAGTCAAGGGTTAATACTGAATATTATTAGCTGATCTTCCACAGCAGAAAACTGTTCTAGGACTCTTGAGTGGGACTTTGTTTAGACTGCAACACTACATATGTGTATGAAGACAATTACATGGTTAGATGAATTTAGTCTACCTGAGATTCCAGCCATTCCTCAGATAGATTCATCATTTCTTCATAAGTCATCTGGCGAAATAGATAGGAATACTTGTGCAGACGAAGATTCTTCAGCCAGACAGGAACCTCTGTAACACATGCTGTCAGTTAAACAAAACTGGAGAAACTTCTGAGGCAAATGAGTAATGGTGAATACAGCCCACCTCACTTAACAGGTGTAACTTTACTACATCAGAAATATTGCCAACAGGAAGAATTATGAATATTCATTAATATAATAATTGTGCAATGGATAATATCTTACACAGATAATTGTGATGAAATATTTTTTTTCTTTTGCATACAAAATATACAAAGTAGAGTCTTTATCCATGTTCAGAATACTGATTTTTTGTAGCAATCCATTTACCAACAGTAAAAATCTAGTGGAGAGTGGGGATGATTGGGAGCGTACTTTAGCCAAAGTGTCAGGATCAGTATAAAATAACATTTTTTTTCTAAAGAATACATATTTCTCTTGCACTAAGTCCCCAAATAGGCACAGGGGATACATACACAAACTGCAATGTATACATAGCTCCATATACATAGGTGAAACATCCCGCCCATTTGACATACGACTGAAGGAGCACAAAATATCGGTACAAAAAATATGGACCAGAAATCAGCTCTCTCCGAGCTCATCGTCAAAAACCCTACTCACTTGACTTCACTGACTGCCAACAATCAACTGTATTAACCAATAACGTCCATGATTGGCGCAGCGCAAATGAGTGTTAAACGATTAGACAATTACAACCGCAGCTGGACAGGGGTCAAGGAGTGTAACTCCGCCGTGCCTGGGAAGTCAATTAGGTCATCACTGGCTTCTATCCACATATGCCAATCACTTGTATAAACGGTTCAGGCTCATAACGCCGACCTTTCGACCAAACTTTACGGTTGAGTGGAAAAAAAACATCGGCGTCCTGAGACTAGTTTGATTTTGCCAATTAACAAAGGATTACGAGGAAAATGAAGGACCAACGAGTTGTTAGAAGAGGATAATCCGGATTATGTGGATGAGAGGACACCTTATGAGAAGACAACAACAGTTTATATTTTTATCAATTATTTCCATAGTTGAAGCTCTCATCAACAAACTCAGTTGACAGATTCTAACGTTTTTTTTACAATGATTCACATAAGTAAACACGTGACATTTTTAATAAACACATCGCATATCCGATGCATATTCATGATACATATAGCACACTTTTTTCCACAGAGATGGATGCACAGATTTTAACCCAAATGCAATAGGTGGAATGCTGAAGCAGCAAACTGTCTCACGGACAGTGTTCCTTGTCTGAGCTGGTGGCGGATGTCAACCAGACGTTGCTCTTAGTCCCTGTATTTCTTCTTCTTGGACAGACGCTTCTTGCCAGTAGCGTACTGGACCAGCTTGTTTTCCGTGCTGGTCTGGAACAGCACAATCTCGAAGATGTTTGGGTGAGCCTTGCCGACATATCTCTTCAGACGTGAATGCCACCCTTCCAGGTGGTTGTTGCTTAATGGCCCATCGGAGTTGTGGTGGTTCCATTGCGTTCCACTGCGATATGTTCATCTAGTGTGACGAGTCCACCTTATCAAAACATCTAGAGTAGATTATCCGCAAGCCTAATTACGCCTAATCAGAACCTAACCTTCAAAGGAAACCGCAGGTCGGCGTCCTGAGACTAGTAGGAAATCGAAAGGTCGGCGTGCTGAGACGACACCGCATAAATTCTTCTCTTGTATAAACCATGTCCATTATCTGTACATCTCACTCTTTCATCTCCTGTTTCTTATCCAATTTATTGTATATACATGCAACACTGGCTTCTTGTACATTTATTATATACTGTGAACAAAACGTTAAGCGCCACTAAGTATATTTTGCCAATATAGGTTGTCTCATAGGAAATCTTTCAAAAAAGACAACTATCATAATCTGATGAACATAAGAGATTTTTTCTGGGTTACATCTTCTTTTTATTCTGGAGTACAACGTTTCAGGGCTTGTTCTGGCCCCATCATCAGGTAAAACTGAACAGTAACTGTTAACTCTGGCCGTGACGTCACAATGCTTATGACGTCACTATGCTATGACGACGCAATACACGTGGTGGTCAATAGATACAGATGACATGGCTAATAGAATACATGTTATTATGAATATATAAGATGTCGTTTACTGCAGATTAATGGATCAATTTAGAACTGTGCAGATACTTATACAAAATTGTTGATTGATTTAGAAATGTACAGAGACGTATTTATAAATGTATAGAATGTAAAGTAATAGCAGTGTATACATAGAAATTATGCTTTATACATGGGAACAGTGATGAGGGTAGGGTATTGTCTTATTGTTTTATGTACCATTGCATTTGGGAGGTAGACACCCTGATCCCTGTTTATTGCTGGTTTTGTGCGTTTGATAAAGATAGCTTCGATCAACTTGCGTTTCCGCCAGTCACTGATGTTTTTTGCGAGGACTTCAATTTTCCCAGTCAATTTCATGATCGGGATTATTCATAATGTGTTCGGAAACTGCAGATTTCAGATCTGATTTGTCCACTGAAGTGTTGTGTTCTTTCACACGTGTAGCTACTGGTCTGCCTGTCTGACCAATGTAGATGTCACCACAGTCACATTTCAGTTTATACACACAGCCTTTAGGGTTGGATATAGCGTGATTGCACCCCTTACCATTTGCACGTAGCCAAGTTTTAAGGGTTTTGCCAGACGAGAAAGTGGTGTCAATGCTGGCCATTTTCTTTAGGAGTCTGCTGACTTGGTGGCTGATGGGCCCAACATACGGGATGTTGATGCGGATGGGAGATGGTTCAGGTTTCGGAGGAGGCTGAACTTGATCTTGTAGTGTTTTCTTTATGGTGGTTTCTAAAGGGTTCTTTGGATAACCATTGTATGTGATGAATGTTGTCATCTTGAGGTCCGTTTCTTGTTGCAGTAGGTCAGGGCTACAAATCGTTTTCGGGCGTCTCGCAAGTGTGGCAACAATTGCTCTCTTGATTTGGGGATGGTGGTTTGAGTGATAGTGAATATATTGGTCTGTGTGGGTAGGTTTGCGATAGACCGACGTGATGAGCTGGTTGTTTGAGTTGTCAATGGCGATGTCCAAGAAAGGGGGGTTTGTTCTGCTGCTCTGTTTCCATCGTAAACTTAATTCTAGGGTGTTGATTGTTGAGGTGGTTTAGGAGTGCATTGGGGTCATGATGGTTGTCTAGGATAGAGAACGTGTCATCAACTTTCCTGTGCCAACATAGTGGTTGGAATGGTGAAGTAGCCAGAGCAATTTCCTCAAAGTTGGTCATGAATATCTCAGTTATGAGAGGTGAGAGTGGAGATCCCATGGGTAGACCATGAATCTGCTGATATATCTGATCTTGCCATGTAAAATAGGATGTTTCAAAACAGCTGGATACAAGGCTTATGATGCTGTCGATCGAAAGTTTTGTGTTGATATGGTCTATACAGGACTCTAATCGGGATCGCAGGATTGCTAGGGATTCTTCTAGAGGAATGTTAGGGAATAAGTCTACCACGTCATAACTGACCATGGTGCGACAAGCTTGGTAATCCTTAAGTTTGTTAACAAACGATGATGAATCAGTGATGAAGGATTTACCTTCTTTCCCTAATGGTGCTAAAAGTTTCGACAGGAATTGGGCAAAAAACATCAGTGACCATGGTGACTGGCGGAAACGCAAGCTATCTTCATCAAACGCACAAAACCAGCAATAAACAGGGATCAGGGTGTCTACCTCCCAAATGCAAGGTACATAAAACAATAAGACAATACCCTACCCTCGTCACTGTTCCCATGTATAAAGCATAATTTCTATGTATACACTGCTATTACTTTACATTCTATACATTTATAAATACGTCTCTGTACATTTCTAAATCAATCAACAATTTTGTATAAGTATCTGCACAGTTCTAAATTGATCCATTAATTTTGCAGTAAACGACATCTTATATATTCATAATAACATGTATTCTATTAGCCATGTCATCTGTATCTATTGACCACCACATGCATTGCGTCGTCACGGCCAGAGTTAACAGTTACTGTTCAGTTTTGCCTGATGATGGGGCCAGAACAAGCCCTGAAACGTACTCCAGAATAAAAAGAAGATGTAACCCAGAAAAAATCTCTATGTTCATCAAACATCATCTTCTCAAATGCCAATCAAGCATATCATAATCTGGTTGAGTACTTTTAGTTTAAAAACAAAACCATTATGGAAATTATCTTTTTCATAGGATATATGCGCTTTTGGAAAACATGCATTTTGTTTTCTTCAAAAAGGTTACCACCTTTTGAAAAGTGAAAATCAGAAATGACTGTTATATGGTCACATGATTGTCATTTTTGACAAGTGAAACCTAGGTTTAATAGTGTTGTATAAGCAGAATAGGAATACTAGTAGTTATTTTGCTTTAAAAATCAGTGCCATCACATCTTTATCAATATTTCCTTTAATTGTAAATACAAATGATTATGATGTCTCTAAATCAGCTACCAGATGAACCTTCTCTAAATATGGATTGGTCTTCCCAATTACTTTAGCCTAACATTTCCACAGCTTCACATCTTATTTTTTAAATAGGCTGTCGCTTAACTTCTTATTCTCGGTTTATATACTCATTGATGTATCTTGTTTGTTACAGTTCACCTGACGTAGGGGCAAGGAATAGCCCAGACACGTTGTGACATACAATAAAGAAGAAGTTGTCATCCATAATATTTGCCTTTTATGTGAGATAATGGTTGGCAAAGACAGTATCGGTCCTTCTAAAACATCCTTCCTTGCAGAATGAGATAGAGCAGTTATCATGTAACACTTGCAGAAATGCTTTGTGAGGATTCTTCTTGAGAGCCATTCTTTGCAGATAAATGCAAAGATATCTTCTGTGTCCTCTGATCCTACAATCAATGTCACAACTGGACAAAAGATTACTTGGACATGAAACATGTCTATCTGGTTGTCTAGGTGGATTGTCCTATTCCAATCAAATCCAATTTGAAACTAAATGAGCCGGTGTATTTCGTCACTGTTGAATTTGGTAGAATAGACTTGTTTTAATACAAGTAAAACATTTCAGAATTATGTTTAGGTGCCAAGTGGTAACTCTAACTTATTCTGCTGATCTTGAGGCAATAGATTCCATGCACTTGGTGCTGCCATTTCTAGTTGTTGATGTGTCATTGTCATTCATCTGCAGACAATCTTGTATTGCGGCGCTGATGCCTTCCTGGGAATAACACTGACCAATAAAACGTATGACGTCAGCAGTACAGTATCAGGTTGATCTAATATTTGATGCATGTAATTAAGCCTTGAACTGACGAACACAGGGGAATAGGTGTCATACAAATTTTTTCATAATTCTGAAAGGTCAATGGAAGGACGTTTCCGTTTTCATTCTCCCGACATTTATTGAGGGTGCACTTGTAGGTATAAGTACAAAGAAGTCATTCAAGTCAAGTAATTTGTGAGACAAAGGATTTCCTCCATTGCGGACTATATAGGTGCTTCACAGCATTCGTGTATGTGAGCGCTATGTATCTGAGCTAAGACATGGGTAGACATGACAAAAACCTTTGACATGAAATTGAGAGTACCGTATTTGTGATGATAGAAGTAACTCTCTAAGAGATGGAGGTATGGGCATTGTGATTGCTCTTGAAATCAGCTTCAACCCCCAAATCATCTCATGTCCATCTCACTAAATTTTTTAATTTACTCAGGTGCCTCCAACATTGCCTTTCTTAAGGCTTTTCTTGTCTTCAGTCACATAAGGGACCGTTCATAATTTATGGCTAGGGGTGGTGATGATGATTTTAAGGGGGGGTCACCCATTTTGTTCTGGGGAGGTAGGGAGGTCATCAATTTTGTACACATGTTTCTAGGGGGGGTCAGCAATTTTGTACACAAAAATATTTAAAAATTATGCTTAAAAAATATTGGAAGGCCGAGCGGTCATCGATTTTGTACATGACATGCAGGGGGGGTCACTTACTTTGTACATAAATTTTAGAGAGGGATCATTCACATTGTACATGCTTCTCCATAAAAATCATCACCACCTACCTGGCCATAAATTATGAACAGTCCCTAAGGTAGCTTTTTCTCAGACTCTTTAACTTCTTTGCTCAAAGTCACTTCTGCAATATTTATTGATAATCAACTGCTATTTAGTTAATGATTATTGATTATATCTGATCCATAGTGATAGCATGCCCTAGTTTCCTATTTCTGACTGGGTTTTCATCATCATCATCATCATTATTCATCAATGTTAGTTACGTTCAACGTGGCCATAGCATCATCTGTATCATGTGTATATCATGTCACCCACCTCTCATACCACTGCCATCTTCCAGGAAGCTGTTCCTCACTGGCTGTGGGCCTCCATCATCAGGGTGGGTGTCACTGCCACTGCCTGAAGATGTGATGCTGCTCTGGGGGGACAGTGGAGCATGTTCACAGGTAGAGTTGTTGGAGTTGCCCCGAGACAGGTGGTTGTCATTGGTGCGCAACCAATCAGTAACAGTTTTTTCTGGGTTTGGAACGCCCACAGGTGGAGTGACAGAATATGTCCTACGTAGTGGTGCATGCAAATTGTTGTGTTGATTGTTGTTACCTGTGAATGGGTTAAAACAGTGACAGAGAAACAAATAACTTCGTTAATGCCTTGTTACAATATTTTTACACAAATCTGTATTGACTGATAATACTGAAAAACTAAGTAAAAACAAACAATAAAGCATATGTCTATGAAAAACTTCCTACTTAATAGGTTCTTTGCAGGAAAAATATTTCGTTACTATATTGACAAACAACTCCACAACAATATTAGAACAAATATAATGAATCTTAAAAGAAGCAACTAACTTCATGTGTCATATTACCTGTAATAATTGTAATAGCAATAAAAAGTCCTGTGATGGGAATCTAATAACGGAGCTTTAGGTCCAAAGTTAGATGCCTAGTACATGTGACCAAAGAGGCAAACCCAGTCAGCAAGCTGTACAACACTATTTACACATATTTCTGACTTTGCAACCTTGCGACATGCTGTTTAGGCCATTCCAGTCCTGAGCCTACCAATGGTATGTAGGTAGGATGATGTTTACTGTCAAAGTTTATCATGTTGTTCCATATATTTATTATGTGACCAGTCAAGAATAGCTAAAACCATTATTTTTGAAGTTTCAAAAGTTTGGGATCATGTTCTACTTACCCTGGTTACTAGCTGGTGGTGTGCTGAAGTTAGGCGGTGCAGAGGAAGTGGCATGGAGAGGTGTATGACCATTGTTGGGTGAGGACACTACTCCCACATGACTGTTGCTGATTCGTAATGACTGATGACTGCCAAAACTATTCCCAATAAACCCATTGTTACTGGCATTATCCCCATTATCGGAACCATTCACAATGCTTGTAATATCTTGATTGGTTGAGGCGTTCCAGTGACCATTGTTGGGTCCATTGGACAGTGTAACGGACTGGTCTGTGACAGCCAGGGGTGGGGACTGACTCGGTCCCCGTGCAGGACTGATGCTGTATGTAAACCTTTCCTCCAGATATCCCAGCCACATTCGGAACTGTAGACGTTCCTCCCCACTGATGGCAGGGTGGATGAGGGAGTACGACAGGAGTTGTCGACTTTCCTCAATGTTCACTCCATTTTCAATGGCATGAGAGAGCACCTCTGGAATGATCCGTAAGTATTCCTTTTTTGCAGCAGCATTGCCTGACTGCAAGAGAGGCAAATATTTGAGCAAGTGGCCAATAGCTTTCTCCTTGGAATCTGAACACACTTTGCTGATGAAAGCTGCAAGGAAAAAACACAATGAAAGCAAACTTCATCAGCTGACAAGTCATTAACAGGATCAAAAATAAAAAATATTGTGAGGCTCATCACATTTTCTTCCTGACTTCAGCAATATTCCTAACTCAAATCAATTGTGTTACAAAGATATGGTACCAGTCCTATCAATCATGAAGTAACAGGCTTCATCATGTTATAAACATTTTGTCACGGATGCTTGCTTCTCGTCACAAAGACTCACATGGCAATTCAATTCTTATACTTATCTGGGAGAAGAATACCTAGTAATATTACACCAGATTAAATGAAAATACCTTGCCTCCAGCAAAACATAGCCATGATAATGATGAACAAGAACATATTTCTGAATCACTTCCAGTCTAATGACACCAATCTGGACTGAGGAACATGAGCCCAATGCAATATAATTTTAAATCCGAAAGTCTGATGCCCCTGGCATGTATAACATAATTATTTATATATGTATATTTCTGGTGTATTGACCATGACTAACAACTGCAGTCAATCACATATCAGAACACCCAATGAAGTAATCTGTGAAACAAACTTTGTGGTTCCAAATAAATTCTTCAGGCTAAGGTACAACTTCAAAAGCTTGATGTTGGACAAAACACTAATTGTATCGCTCAAACTTGAGACTTTGATGTCCTTAGTACCCTGAAAATGTTGAATTCCTGTGTGCAGTTACCTCTTATCGTGCTTTTTATATGGTTCCTAAAGGCATTGTAAATGGGAACACGAACACGAACACACACGCACACACACACGCACACCCACCCACACACACACACACACACACACGAACACACACATTTTATTGCATAGCTCTCAACATAATACACAAGAGTTGAAGCTACACACATCTGACTGTCACCAATCCAAATGCTATCAATCATCCACTGGGCATTTTGTAATCAATGAATTACATTTGTGAGTGAGTATGGTTTTACGCCGCTTTTAGCAACATTCCAGCAATATCATGGCGGGGAACACAAGGAATTACATTTGTAACATTAAGGATAGATAAGACCTGTAAACCTGTTTTGTTCTGTTCTGAAGGAATTCTGAACTACTTACAAAATGGCCAAATTGCAGGATAAGTTTAGGCTCACTTAAAGCATGCACTATATTTTATGTATATATATGTGTGGTTACATCGAAGATGAATTTCTCCCCTGACTTGGGGGAACCAACTGCAAACCTTATGCAGATGAACTGCACGAGGATCATGCATCAAAATGCTGAAAAGCATGTGTAAATATCATGCATGTAAACAGCTGCGTTTTGTTAAGAATTCGCCAATTTTCACTGAGTTTCATCATTTATTGGAAATCATTGATTTGGAGACTGTGCGCTATAGAAGATGACTTATTATTATTATTATTATTATTGAACTCATGACAATCTTTTTAACGTTACGAATTTGTTTTGCATTACAATACATCAGTTCATGTGTAAACAGTACCTTTAAACAGTATGGAATATTTTGCAAAATCTAGTTTAGAACAGTTGACTGAAGTAAGTGGCTACATTTACACTAGTGAGTCTAAACTTTTGATGGGTAGTATACATTACGACCATGACACGGATATTAGCGAACACGGATATAGCGTACAAACGGATATAGCGAACAAATTTAAAAGACCCGTCAACAGTCCTTTATAATATCATTAAAATTATCTTCCTTCACGCGAATAACGAACTCGTGAGTAGCGAATTAACAATGTACAGCTATAGCGAACTGATTTACTACCCCCAAGCCCAACTATCGACGTGATTAGCGAACTCATTAACGTGTCTGTGATGCAGTCGGCAAAATGAAGTCTGCAAGACGTGGTGTGCAGAGCAAAATTGTGTACTTTGTTAAACGTAATTAAGTTATATACATGTATTTTTGAGATTGTTGTGATTGTTAAACATGTTCTTGTTAAACATGTTCTAGCTAATGTCTGTGAATGATAAATTCAGAATTTTAATGTTATGTCAATGTACATGTACAAGAATAAATATTTGTAGCCTCAGCATATACGTGTCTCTACATCTCTACAATCCAAGATGGCGGTCAAATGTGAATAACGAACACCGGATATAGCGAACTAAATTTCGTGGTCCCTTGGAGTTCGTTATATCCGTGTTCTACTGTACAGTTTAGATTTATGTTGCACTCAGCAATATACCACCTATACTCATGGAAACTAATAAGGGAACACATAAAAGTACAAGTGTTCCTTTATTTATTTCCAGAATTTTTTTCTCACAGTGCTATACATACTTTGTGATGAAACCTGGAAAAGAATAAACATTGAACTTTCATGTGTTCCCTTATTCGTTTCCAAGAGTATGTATGGCGGCAGTCTGTAAATAATCGAGTCTGGACCAGACAATACAGTAATCAACAGTATCTTAAACTATAGACACTACAAAAATACAAAAGGCTACAGATCGTTGACAATTGAAACTTAGAAATATCAGCTGTTGCTTGCATTAACACAAACATGGAGTTTACCACACAAGAAATCCTACATCCTGTTCCTACAAAAAGAAAATGAGTTAAAAGTGCAACCACTGGAACATAGGAAATTAGGTTGCATGTTTATAATTGAACATTATGTGAGAATTTGGTACTACTTAATAAATGAATTTCAATTTTCATATTAAAACCTTCAACACTCAGTTGAATGTTTCATCAGGCCTACAAAATAACAAAAATCTGAATACCAGACCAACCCTAGAAAATGCTTCTGTCATTAACGTTTTTTTCATTATTAATTAACTTAATTAACATTTGCTCTGCTGTTTCATCTATCATCAGTTTCCCCAATAACAACACACTGTTCATCTGAGTGAGTGAGTGAGTTTAGTTTTACGCCGCACTCAGCAATATTCCAGCTATATGTCAGCGGTATGTAAATAATCTGGACTAGACAATCCAGTGAGCATCGACCTGCGCAATTCGGAACCAATGGCATGTGTCAACCAAGCCAGCAAGCCTGACCACCCGATCCCATTAGTCGCGTCTTACGACAAGCATGGGTTACTGAAGGTTCATTCTAACCCGGACTGATGACGTTGATGCTGTCACTAATAATAGTAATGGTGGATGTGATTTTGAACAGATAAGATACTAATGGAAACACAGATTGACAGGCACTAGTGGGGACGGTTGGGAGGGAATTGCGTCTGTGAGTCAGGATAAGGATAAAATATCATTTTTTTTAAAAATACAAAATACATATTTTCCTTATCCTGACTCATATTATTTGCTTGCATCCAAAGGAACTGGTGGTGGGACAGCCATCTTTATTGGATACATAAATACTGTTCATTTTAACCCCTGGGAACTCTTCAATCTTCTTGATGTAGATGAATGGAGTACCACCTTTTTATTCAAAAAGAAGTAAACCATAAGATTTTGTTGAAGTTTATATGCGCATGGAATTTGATTCCTGCTTGTCTTGGATCGATCAATATGTTAAGAATAGATCGTAAACATAACTGAATCGTATCACTCATGCTCAGATTTATGTAATAAAACAGGGGGGCATGGACTCTCAGTTGTTGACTATGGGACAGTAACCCAACTTCAACGAATCTGCGTGATTATGGCTTAGTTCTTATCTTCTTGATGGCAATTGTACAACCAAGGGATGAAACTGGTGTATACCTACAACATCTTGTGTGGCCAAGTCCCTGAGATAATGGTTAGCGAAGACAGTATCCAACATTCTAGCTAGCTGCTCTGACATTGTAGGTGCTATAGCTAGTGCCAAGAGAAACAGCGTCTTTTGAGTGAGCAACTGGAATTTTGCTTGTTCATCGGGGTGTGTACACATCGCTTGTAAGTTGTTGAAGGCGCTTTGAATTTCATCTTTTGATCCAGCAATCAGATGAGTGATGAGCTCAAGACCCTTGGTGAGTTTTACTCCTTGTTTATTGTGAGGACAGACCTTATGGCCGCTAAATAAGTGGCTAGAGTCGAGCCTTTGAGATGTCTGGTACTTCTCAGACTGCATAAATATTCTGCAACTTGAGGATGAGTGGCCTTAGTTGCTGAGAACCCCTACAGCGATGCAAACTGGTCAAAATTCTTTCATTTATCTTCATAAAGACTTCTGGTAGATCTTCTCAATGCTAAAGTGACAGCCTTGGCTGCTCTAGCTGAGTACCCTCTTCTGGTAAGGCAGTTCGTAATACATTCATACATGAAACTTGACGACTTCCTGTTTTGCTATCAGGTCTGGAAACCAGGTTCTTGATGGCCATTATTAAGGCACTACCAAAGTCAGTCTCAGTTTCCTGATGGCCATTATTAAGGCACTACCAAAGTCAGTCTCAGTTTCTTGATGGCCATTAAGCAATACCAAAGTCGTTCTCAGTTTCCTGATGGCCATTAAGGCTCTACCAAAGTCAGTCTCAGTTTCTTGATGGCCATTAAGGCATAACCAAAGTCAGTCTCAGTTTCTTGATGGCCATTAAGGCACTACCAAAGTCAGTCTCAGTTTCCTGATGGCCATTAAGGCACAACCAAAGTCAGTCTCAGTTTCTTTGTTTGTGCAATCTGTTCTATGACTCTTTGCATAAACATTGGTGGAGGGGATGTATACTGCAATATGTGTGAAAACCTTCCCGACCTTTCTAATGTTGACGTACCATTTTTTCTTTTGTCCACAGACAATCTCTGTTAGTTCAGGGATGGCCACATTTCTACACTTCTATTGCAGCCATGCTGATTCCTGTGATGCGCTGATCTGAACAGTAACACATACGGTCATCTAAAATGGCAATGAATCCCTTGATGATCACTGGTGATCTCACTGTTAGGGCTATGGGAATTGAGATTTCAACATAACGGGTTTCTTTATAACCCTGGGAATTTGTTGGCATGTGATATGCAAATCAGGTCTGCTCATGGGCATTGCATTTTGTCGAATACGTGGTCCACACTTCACAGACATGAAATTATATTTTTCCATGTGATAATAGAGAGAAACTGTATAGTAGCCAGTGTGGTCATCTACCGAGTTCCCAAGAACTAACGGTGTACCTCCAGTCAACTACCTGTAAAATGTATGACATCATCGGTGCATTATCAGGATGACCTCCATGATATTTGGTGTAATAGATGGCTGACTGAGTATGTGTGTAACTTGGTTACATTATTTCCAAATAAGTTATACTCGGTGATTGGTGTTAAGCAAGGACCTTCTCTTAATGTTGAGATATAATCATTCTGTTTTTATTAGAATCTTTGTCTCGAAGGGATCTTCAAGACTATTCTAATTGTCACTCTTCACTCACAAATAGTGGCTGTAAATGACCAGCCAGAGTGCAGTCCTCCCATCGCTCACAAGCTGACCTTTCAGCTGCAATTGGGGCTGCAAAGACAGATGACTGTAGGAAGATTTAAGGGTGCATGCAGACGTGAAGCTTTGTGGAGGTCTTCTACTCAAGAAAGGTTCGTAAACACTGTGAAGACTATTGTCGACAGATTCATGAAAAGTGACTTCTATTCTTCAACTTCACTCATTACTTCTGCGTTAAGATCGCAGGTAGTGGTGTCTTGCACACCAGAAACTGTGGTAGTTTTCAGAGATACCAGCAAGCTGGTGTTAATGTTGACTATTTTCGGAAGATGCGAACCTTGTTCTGATTGTTGCTGACGGCTTCATGAAGATTGACTTCTTCATTTTCGTTCATTGTATCTACATGAAGATCATGGTGTCTTGCAGGATGGAAAGAGTGGTAGTCTTCTGAGATACATGCATGTGTATTTCAGTTCCTGAACCCTGTGGTGATAGCTGTCGAAGAAGCATTCTTTCTCGGGAAAGGTACGTTCCGGCAAGCTGTTTTTACTGTTCTTTGGAACATTGAAACAGAGGTTTCCACTATACCTCGGGCAGAAAGGGGAGAGCAGCAAATAAAATGAGTCAGGATAAGGAAAAGTAATCTAAGTTCAATGAAAAAAACTCATACTAATCCCAATTTTTTTTTTGTGGCCTAATTTTCTCATGCTGGCACTTGCAGTAGTTGCAGTTCGCTAATTCCATGCCTAGTCTTAACTAACCTGCTAATGGCAGAACATGCACAATTTTACATCACTAGTTGTAGAATTTGTCTCCAGGTGACTGGGTTCAAGTTAAGCTTTAATAGGGCTGGGACAGGTAGGAATTCTGAACCTTGGTACCTGATTCAGATTTATTTGGAGTTAATTCCCTTAATGGAGACTGAAACTAATAAAAGGGTGTTTAGTCATATTTTCATCTGAACTCCACAACTCTGATTTCAGATTGAGATTTTTTTCTGTAAGAACAACGTAAATTTATTTTGTTGTGGTAGTCATATATTTGTTTCCTTATAAATCAGAACAGGTACAAAAGGTATCAGCAAACAGTTATCATATTGCATAAACAGTGGAATCTGTCAAATCCGGACTCCCTGTAATCCAGTGTCCTCCATAATCCGGACTACTCTGAGTCCAAGCAAAATTGTTCTTTATTTATCATGATTAAAGCTAGCTTTATAATCTGGACTCTCTTAATTATGGATTACGGATTAATTAACAGTCCCAACAATCAACATGCTATGAGAACAATGCTTTGTAATCCGGACTTAGCTGACTAAAATAACAGTCCGTTGAATAAACATCTCCGTTGGGGTCCTAATCGCGGCCAGTTCAGACCACAAGACAACTGGCAGTTTCTGTCTTGGATGTAAATACTAAAACGGAAGTATGCTCTAATAAACATTTTACTGACCCTAACGTGGGAACCTGTGTTGGTTTTCTTTTTTATATCATAATGATCACAGTCAACGAGACAGTAATTTTACTCAAAATGTTAAAAATGTAATTTTTAGAGTAAAATTGATATTTTATACTTATCCTGACTCATGCTCTTTTGCTTGTCTTCTTCTTCTTGCGAACATAGTGGAACACTTGTATCTCCTTATTTGAAGCTCCCTTCAAAATAAAATCACTATTTGGTACTCACCACGAGTTGCTCCCCTTTGTTTCCCCTGGCGGGAAAGGTGTCGCCACCCTCTGGCCATGTGCTCCACTCTCTCCTGATTTTGCGAGCCCAACACTTGAACTTACAGGGAAATCCAAAGTGTTATGTGGGGAGGATGGGAGGGCTAACCTCATGAGTCAGGATAAGTATAAAATATCAATTTTACTCTAAAATTACATATTTTTCCTTATCCTGACTCATGCTCTTTTGCTTGTAGCATCCTACGGACACGGAGGTGGGAGTAACAGAATACTTTGGATTTATAATTAGTGATTTTGTATAGATATACTGTAATATCCCCTACGGGAACTTCATGAAGGCTTAGACTTAGGATGTTTGTTGTATTAAAAAACCATTGGTTACATAATGCCATTAAAGGGGAATTACATTATAATTATATTGAACAATACATATAATATATATATATATATATAAGTGACTCTGATAGAGGCACTGAAACTGAAGATATCATAGTATAAGCTTAAGGCTGAATAACTTAAGCTGAACATATATACATAGCCCTAAAACTCCGTGAGTTATAAGCTAGATAAGTATGTATATAATACATATTAATCTTGTGAGGGTAATATTTAACGCCCTCTGACGAGGAACTGTCAGTTGCTGAGCGAGGACCAGTGGTCCGAAATGGTGAATGCCAGAGACATCTTCTGTAGTGATGTCTCTCAGGTAGTGATTAGCAAATACCATGTTAGATTTCCAATAGCATCCTTCCATAATCGTGTTCAAGGAACAGTTGCCGTGAAGGGCGAGGGTGGAGGCCAATGCCCTGATCTCATGTGGATTTGATGCTGTTGGTGGGTCCAAGCCTGCTGCCTTGTAGGCACGGAGAATGACAGTCCTTATCCAAATAGATATTGTGGTCCGTGACACTTCTGTTTGATTTGTAGGCGATAAGGGGATGAATAAACGTTTGAGAAATCTTCTCCTTGTTTTGGATCGTCGTAAATAAACTTTGAGCGCTCTTACTGGACACAGTGATAAGTCTTGTGTATCTTGTGATCCGAGAATAGAGGATAGCGCCGGGATGTGGAATAACCTGTCTGGTTGACCTGGCAGTTGATTTTTAGCGATGAAATCCCATCTTAGTCCGAGGTGCGCTGTGTTATGATTGTCATCAAACTGTATCCTCTCGTAATCTAGAGCGTGAATTTCAGACATTCTTGCTGCCGTGGCTAGAGATAGCAGAAAAAGTGTTTTCTGTGAGAGAAATTCAAAAGTTGTCGATTCCAAAGGTTCATAAACCTCACTCGTGAGGTGTTGTAACACTATATTCAGATCCCAAGCTGGGGGCGTGGAACTTCCGCTTTTGGTCCTCCAATCGGAATGCTCGTAGTAAGGCCAGTAACTCTGGAGATCTTGTCAACTTGACACCCGTTCTCATGGTGATTACAGAACTAAGCGCGGCAAGATATGTTGATATCGTTGAACCTTTTAAATGTTTGTTTTGGCGCAGGTAACACAAATAGTCTGCCACTTGAGGCTGTGAAGCCTCTCTCGCTGTAAAACCTTTCTTTGCTGCATAATTTTCGAAACTGTGCCACTTGTCGTCGTACAAGTTACGAGTTGAGTAACGTAAGGCAAGCGTGACTGCTTTTGCCGCCCTGGCAGAATATCCTCTCTTGTTTAAACACATTTGTATACAGTCCATACGTGTAGTTGGAACATTGCTGGGTTTCCGTGCACTTGTTTGGTGTGAGGATGAATTAACAGGTTTGCGCGCTTGGGTAGCTCCAGTGCTGGTTGACCGATTTCTTGAATTAGTATGGGAAACCACGTTCTGGCCGGCCAGTAGGGCGCGACCAAAGTGAGTTGTAGGCTCTGTGTTTGTCTGATTTTCTGTAATACTTGAGGTATTATTGCTGGCGGCGGAAACGCGTACGCATTGAGGCCTTCCCATGATAGACTTAGAGCGTCCGTTGCCCAAGCTTGAGGGTCTGGGACTGGTGACACGAATGTCGGTAGCTGATTGTTGAATCGCGTGGCGAAAAGGTCTATTAGCGGCGCTCCTAATTGCTTGATTATCTGTGCAAATATTTCCCTGTTGATCATCCACTCTGTCGGTGATGGTAGATGAGGCCGAGAAAGAGCGTCTGCTAGTATATTTCTGGCTCCGGGAATGTGAACTGCTCTGACATGTAGATTTAGATCTTGTATTAAATCGAACAGTTGAAAGCTTAGGTTCAAAAGGTTCAGCGATCTCGTTGAGCCTTGCTTGTTTATGTAGAACGCCACTGT